GACCATCTGCATGTTAGAGGGGGCAGGTTACATGACCATCTGCTGGTCAGAAGGGTTAGGTGATACGACCATCTTTATGACAGAAAAGGCAGGTAACACGACCATCTGCACATCAGAGGGGGCAGGAGATAAGACCATCTGCACGTCAGAGGTGTCAGGTGACAAGTCCATCCTTATGGCATGTGGGGAGCCGCCTGCTGTCCCTGCAGACGCCATTACAAGATGGCGCTCACATCCGGTTCATGCTGAGCAGTAAATAAGTCAGTACGCATGCCCGAAGTAATTTTCCACCTTCTATTCTCTGCCTACCTCGTGGCGTGATATGGGCTGATGAGTTTGTGACCAATCAAGAGTTGCCACGTCCAAGACGGGCTTACTAACCTATATAAGGGCTGGGTTTCCGACATTCGGGGTCTTCGCCCTGTAAGCTTATGCTCTCCCTCTCAAGATGCATTAAAGCTTTTCTGCAGAAGGATCCTGAGTGTGCTGCGTCGTTCTTGCTGGCGAGACGATAGCGCGGGACAGGGGTGTAAAGAGGATTTGATGTATGAAATACACAAAAATTCAATTAAAATTTTATTTTAAAAAAAGTTGTGCTTTTGTGTGGACAAATGCCTCTCAACAATTACAGTGTGCTAAACTTTTATATATGTGCTAATATGATAGGTTGTAGTATGGTGTATCACTATGTAATTTTAATTGTATTTCTTTGGTGTGAGGTTGACAGCTTTTCATACTTATTGTAAGGTTGGCGAAAAGAAAAATACAGACTAGGAAATAAGCAACTACAACAGCACAGGTTTAATGGGGGGGGGGCAGGATCTGCAAAAGGGAGAGCTCTGTGAGATGGAGGCCAGCTTGGTCTACATAGCAAGTTCCAGGCCATCTGGGACTACAGGAAGACCCTGTCTCAAACCCCCAAAACCAAACCAGAACCAAATGTTAGAGGCTGAGGTAGTTATAGGAGAAAAAGGGGGAACAGGGAAGGGAATAGAGATGTTTCCTTTTTTGGCTCTTGATGGCCTGTGCTAGGGGTAACTAGGGAGTAGTGATTTAAAGAATGGCAGGTGATTGATGAGCATTTCTAATCTGTAAATCCATTATTTTCTTTTATCATTTTCTTTAGCATTATAGTTTTTTTATCTGAGGTTCTTTATGTATTCAGAAAAGTAAATAATCATATCTGTGATAAAAGTTAAAGAATTATTCCTAATTTGTCTATTTTTTTCTATGTTTGTTTTGAAGTGCAGATTTTTAAACTTTTTTGAAACAAAGATTCATCATGTTTGTTGCTTAGGCTAACCTGGTATCAATAGACAGTCAAACAACAACCTCTTGAATAGCTGAGACTCTAGGTGCACACCACTACACCAGATTTAAACACTTTATATTGCTAAAATTATCTCTTTTCTTTCCATTAGAGTTTCTGAGTATTGTAATATATTTAGAAATGTTTCCCTGCTCTGATTTCCCATGTTTTCTAGCACTTTAAAAATTGTATACAGGCTGGAGAGATGGCTCAGCGGTTAAGAACACTGTTCTCGCAGAAGACCCAGGTTCGAATCCCAGCACCCACATGGCAGCTAACAACTGTCCATAACTCCAGTTCCAGGGGATCCAACAGCCTCTTCTGTTCTCCGCGAACATTGCACAACATGGGTGCACTTATCTACATGCAGGCAATACACACATACACATAAAATAAAAATATTTTTAAAATTGTATTTAGGTTTGTATATGTGTGTATGAATGTATGTGTGCTTTTATTCATTAAGAGCTTATTTTGGTGTTGGGTATGCAAAGTGACTAAGGATACAACGCTTTTTCCCAGTGAGTCAATCACCTATCCCAACACCATCTCTTGAATTATTGTTTTTAAATCTAGAGTGATTGCTGGATTTTGTCAAACACTTGTTAAGCACTTACGAATATAAGATTTTCTTCTCTTTTAAACAGTAATGTGATCAGTTAATAGTATTAGTGGTTTCTCAGTAGTAAACCAATCTTATGTTTTTGCCATAAAACTTCCAGATCTCTTCCAGAATCTATTTTGGTAAATAAATCCACTTCATTCAGATTTTCAAGTTTGCTTAAAGTTGAGCAAAATTAGCCTCTTAGAAATCTTATTTGATTTCTACATATGTGATTTTCCTACTTTTTATTTCTATTTTATTTACTTATTTATTATATATTTTTGAGACAGGGTCTCATTATGTATCTCTGACTGGCCTGAAACTAGCTATGTAGATCAGGCTGCTCTTGAATTCAGAAACCTACTGCCACTGCCTCTCCAGTGCTGAGATTAAAGGTGTGCACCAACACACTAGGCTGATTTTCCTGGTTTTAAAAACATCATGTTAAGTGTGCAATTTTTTTGTTCGTTTCTTTCTTTTTCATTTGTTTCCTCAAATGTTTGGGGTTGTGTGTGTGTTGGCTCTGGTATTTTGAGACAGGGGCTCACTATGTAACCTGGCTGGCCTCAAACTAACTATGCAGACCAGGCTGGCCTCGAACTCACAGGTTTACCTGGCTGCTGGGATCAAGGCGAGCGCCACCGTGCCCCATTTACTTTGTAATTTTTGTCACCCTTCTCTGGATGTTCCATGCACTGACTTTTTCGTATGAGCCGTGCCTCGCCTACATCGAAGTGTTTACCTTGCCTTTATTGTTTAGATGCTCTGTCCAGTCGGGTTTTATTCCTTTTTCCTAAGACTGTCACTGCTTCAGACCGCGGCTCAAGGCTTTCCTTTTCTTCCAGGGAACTCTGAGTCCTCTCGGTACTCCTCGGCTGGCTCCCAAACCCAGGACGGACCCCTTCGCGCCTGCGCAGAACGCAAGCCCACAAGCCCACCCACACGCGGGTGCCTGGCTCAGTCAGCCAATCATCATCTTTGATGACCCCCCTGCAGTGATTGGCTCTTGCGGAGACGCCCACCCGTTCAGGGAGCAGACGGTGGCCCACAGGGGACAAGACGACTGCGCAGCGAAGGCGGCGGCCGCGCGGGCTTCGGTTGCGGCTGTGGGCGAAAGGCTGCGGGGAGATGGCGGCGGCGGCGCTGGCGGCGGTGGACAGGAGCCGGCTGCTCCTGCGGCTGAGGTGACGGTGGGGGCGGCGGGGCGGCGCCGGGTCCCGTCTTGCGCTTCCCTCGGTTCTGGGCCACTGGGGCGGGAGTCCGCTGCGCACGGCTGCACTCAGGGCTGCGCGGCGGCGGCAGGGCCGGAAGGGATCCGACGAGCCAGAGCTCGTCTACGTCGCGGAGGGCTGGCTAGTCAGATGATCGACTCGTACCTTGACTCCAAATCCTTTACGAAAGGAAGCTTCGCGGGCCGGGGAACTTCAGTAGTAAAAATTCCTAGTCCTGCAAGTAGCTAGCTTTACCGTCCCAGCAGCCTCCGGCATTGTGGAAGGTCCGTGCCGCTTAGTGCCGGAAGACACTGACTCCGCAGGCGGTAGGCGGGTCCCCGCTTAGCTGCTTGTTAGATGTGTGATCTTGGCTGAGTTACCTGTTAACTTAGCTTCAGTCTCTTCTCCCAGGGGGAGGTGGTGACACTAGTATCTACAGGAAAGAATACCAGTCCAAATTAGCACATGGATAAAAGTTTAAACAGAATATGGCCCATGTGATTCAGTCCATAAACAAACGTTGCAGAATCAAATATACCTTTTCATTTGCTTTTATCTTCCACAAGTGATAGTAGGTGCTTTAGATTTTTAGTAATTATGGAGCTAACCCCAAGCAAAACGAGAAAGTTGATGAAAGTAATGTTACTGCTGTGCTTTTTCCCACGACTTTTCTTGGATTTTCAGGGCTCTTGTGGGTACTACCACAGACTCACCTCTCTCCTCCCTCAAAACATGCTAGCTGTTATAGAACAGTTATCTGGTACCTGTCATCCTGCTAACGGTGTATGGAGTTAAAAATGAGAATTTTACTCCTTTTTTTGCAAACGATTCTCTCGTAGTGAGATTCTAGACATGAGAGTAGAAGCTATCTTAATCATTGTAATTATCCCGTGGAAGCAGTTTGTTTATCTTGTTTAAATAATTATGAAAATGGAATAGAGCAATCAGAATGTTGGGATAGAGGATTGTGGTTAAGAGTGTGGCTGTCTGCCTACGTCTTTCTTTACTAGCCAGCAGAATAAAATTTGGGGCCATCAGTGGCCATGGTACATAATCAGAGTTTTAAGTTGAATATATTAAAAAGTTACCGTTTGGTGCTGGAGAGATCAGTCAGCAGTTAAGAGCATTGGATGTTCTTGCAGAGGACCCAGATTCAATTCCCAGCCCCCACATGGTAGCTAATAACCATCAGTAACTCCAGTTTCAGGGAATCCAGTGCCCTTTGGCCACCTCAGATATTGCACAACATGGATGCAGTGACATACATGCAGGCAAAACATTCGTACATATAAAAATAATTTTTTTTAAAGAAAGAAGCTGCCATTTTATAGACACATCTGCCCTGACAGGCTTGAAACCTTATCTAAAACTTACCTGTAGAGTACAAAAGTTAGAAAACTATAAAGATCAGGGAAGTTAATTCCCCCTCTTAAAGATCAAGAAAGTGAGATGGGCCAAATTGGAAAGACTTGAGAGGCCAGAAGTCTCCTGGAGATGCCATCTACAGAGCTCACATGCCAAAGCTGTGTGTCTTCCTAGTAGCTGTCAAGGATGGCAGCATTTGACTAATTGTGCCTCCAGTCAGATGTGTAGCCTACCCCAGTGACCCCTGTGCCGTGATAGTCCTGCTTGTTGCATAGTTACATTCAGAGGACATACATACTGCCACACCTTAGTTTTTATCTTTTTCTTTATAAAGGAACTAAACTTCTCAGTCTTTAGAACTGTGATTTTGCTGCCTCTTCAGATGCAGAAGGAAAAGACTATGGTAGAATTGATTCTGTAGTTTGTTGGTTTTCCAGCATATTCTGTGTAGCTGAAACACTAATGGTTATTATGCCCCTTTATTCCCAGAGTGAATCTAGTCTGCTTTTTGTCAGCTCTTGGTTAACATTTCAGTGTTAACTTAAATGATGTGTGTATGTATCCCTGAACTTAAAATGTCTTAGGCCTTAAGGTCTATCTAGTGAAGAAGCTTGGGACATCATTCCTCCTCCAGTTCTCTACTTTCTTTCAATATAAGAACTTGGAAAAATTGTATACTTTAAAACTGGAAATTATCTTCAAGGTCACCTCTTACAGGAACTGGTGATATAGTTAAGTGCTTTAGCATGAATCTAGCAGTGCAAGGTGCTAGATTCAATCCCTCATTGGGTGGGCAGAGGGCTGTCATCTTTACAGTCTCCTTTCTTGTGTGAGAACACTGAATCCAAGATGTAAACCCAAGATGGACTCAGATGATATCACCCATTAAGTTTCTTGAGTGAGAACACAAACCAAACCAAAAATTTAGCTGTTACCCTAGCATCATGGTCTGTGGCTCTCTGAAGCTCAAACCTGTCTATATGTAACATTTTATTTCTTAGTATTTAAGTTTTTTCATTGGGGGGCAGTAATGGAAAAAAGACTGAGAAACCGTGATGTAGAGTGATCTGGTCCTGGGCAGTGTTGGAGTCATATGGGAACTAGGCCACAGCAGCATGTCTTATGTCTGCTGCCTTTGTTCAGTTTCCTTTCTTTGATTTCTCTGTTTTAGTATCAGAACTGTCTTAGCAAAGGGTTGAATCCAGTTGGCATTTTTCAAAGTGAAATTTGATTAGAATATTTTATTTAATAAGGTAGAACAGAAAACATTGATAACAGTGTCATCTTTCATGACAATTCTGTGTGTACTAGGTAGTTTTTACAGTTGGTTATAGTATAAAAAAAAAAAAGCTGAAGTGGATTATCCTAAAGTACCTTTTTATCATCTCTCATTTTGTGGCAAATGCTGGCTTCGGGCATTAAACAGATGAAGTGACTCATTCACAGACATGTAGCACAAAGGGAAAACAGTCAGAACTTGAACTCTCAGTTTCTAGATTAGTTTTCTTTCCACAGAAAAAGTCTTACCAAATCACTTTGCTGATGACTTAAGATTGACCTTAGATCGTATCTGGATTTGATTTCAAGTTTTGAAAGACCAGTAACTATTCTTGTATATTCTGATTGATTATAATTGCTTTGGGGTTTGTTTTATAGGAAATGGGTTTGGAAGCAGAGACCCATGAAGTATGCAACAACTCCAGGTACTGGTAGGCTTTGTCTGGTTTTGCTTTAGATTGCAAACCAAGAAAGAGAAATGTGTAATTCTTAATGCGTGCACAATAGAATTAGTTCTCATAAACCTTTGAATTTGGGGATTTTCATGATAATTTTCTTATTATTAAGTCACCAATGTTGCTTCTTTTATGTCAAATCCTTGTTATTGAATTTTTTTTTTTTTTTTTTTGGTCTTTTTGAGACAGGGTCTCCCTGTAGCCCCAGCTGTCCTGGAACTCACTATGTAGACCAGGCTGGCCTTGAACTCACAGAGATCCGCCTGCCTCTGCCTCCCAAGTGCTGGGAGGCACCTTGTTATTGAGTGTGAATTTTAAAAAATATTTATTATTTGTATTTTATTTTATGTGTATGAGTGTTTTGCCTGCATTTATGTAAGTGCACCTGTGCAATACCCATGGAGGTCCGAAGAAGGTTTCAGATCCCCTGGTACTAGAGTTACAGATGGTTGTTAGCCACCATGTGGGTGCTGGGAATCCACCCCAGGTCCTCTGTAAGAGCAGTCAGTGCTCTTAACCTCTGAGCTATCTCTCCAGCCCCATTGAGTGTGAATTTTAAGGTGTAATGATGAGGAGTATTTTATATTTCTATCCATTTGACCCTATATTGAATGGGAAAAAAATAATTAGAATGGTCTAAATTTGAAAACAATTCTTTCAAGCAGAAGAACCATTATTTTTCTCAAATGAAATTTTATGTGAAATATAAAACAGAAGTGTAATGAAAGTTTAACTCTGTTTGACTGGATATGACCCCTACTTAGGGCACCCCAAACAAAATGTTGATAGTGAATTGTAGCAGGTCCTGTGATATGTGGTGGCTCTTGGCAGATCTCATGGAAAAAACACTTTTAAATTATAGGTAACCTTATTTTTTTTAAGAATAACCTTGGGTGCTAGAGAGATGGCTCAGCAGTTAAGAGCTCTGACTGCTCTTGCAGAGGACCAGGGTTTGATTACCAACACCCACATGGCAGCTAACAACTATGTGTGACTCTAGTTCCAGGGGATCCAACACCCTCTTCTGACCTCCTCAGGCATTGCATGACATGGGTGCACCTACCTATATGCAAGAAATACACTCACAGACATAAAATAAAAATAATAAAATATTTAAAAAAAAAACCTTGGACTGGGCATGGTGGCTCACGCCTTTAATCCCAGCACCTTAAGGCATAGTAGGCTTGTTCACATTATAAACAGAGATAAGATTAACTTTTTGGTTCCAAGGTTAAGTAAAAGTCACTTATCCAGAGCATATTTATATTGTAAAAGTCATTCCCACAGTCTTAATATTTTCATTTCTTGTTTCCCAGTAACATTTGTGTCTGATCTTCATGGTGTTTTAAACAGGAAGAAACATTACCAAGGTCCTCATTGCAAACAGAGGTGAAATTGCCTGCAGGGTGATACGAACAGCCAAAAAAATGGGTGTGCAGTCCGTGGCTGTTTACAGTGAGGCTGACAGGAATTCCATGCATGTAGATATGGTAGGTTTTTAAAAGCTGGAAACCGAATATTGAGTGTATGTATTTGCTTATTGTGTTTTAGCTCTTTACGATGACAGTTGATGCTTGCAGATGTTAACAAGGTTTATGTAGTTGAGTTCAAATTGCTCACTGAGTACTCTACTTGGGAACACTTTTAACATGTAAAACCAGTTGAACTAAATTGTGTTTAGTGGCATAGCTGATTTACATGCAAGAACTGTATCGAAGATTGTTTTCAGCAGTTCACAGAGTATAGTTCATAGACTACTTTGGGTAGCCCACGTCCAGACCTCTGTTGTGCAAGGACAAAAAGACCAAAACTGTTGTTAGCAATTGTCACTGGTTGAGTGACCTCAGACAAGTCACTTCATGTTTCTGAACTTTGATTTCTCAGTAAAATTCTAGCTGAAGAGACTGAACTCTGAGGTTTTCGTTTTTAGTTATTGCTAGCTCTTATCTACCAGATGGAACTCTAGCCATGGATGAATCTAACTGTTGGCCTTCATTAGGCTCACAACAAGCAGCAGTGTGAGTTCCTAGAGACTGACTTGAGTTGAACTTTTCTCATGGTAGTAAACTACTCCCTCCTGTTAGAAATAAATTCTCCTCATGATTGTCTGACCTTTCTGACCTCTCTCAGTGTCCTTTCTCTGGACCCCATCCACCTGAAAAAATTCGACCATTACTGCTGACATTCTGATGTCAGGACTTTCCCCTGACCCTTTTCCCTCTTCTCACTGTATTTTCTCATGATAGATCATTTTATCCATTCCAGTGACTTTATGGAAGACTCCACATTTCTGTTCGTAGTTCTGACTTCTCTCTGAGCTTGGCCCATAGACACCCTGCTGCCAGCTTCTCAGATACCAAACCAAAGCAGTATGTCTTGACATTGAACTTGAGATGTTTCATCTGTACCAAACTTGATTTTCTTAGGGACTTCCTTCCCCAGTTGACAATGCCTTGCTATAGAAAGAGCAATGCAGAGATTGGGGCAGCTTTGAACATCCTTCCTCTTCCCACTCTATATTCTTTACTCCTCCCTCATCTAGAAAACACCAAGGACTGTTTCCTCCACTTCCCACACACTTCTGCTCACTTCCTCCTGCCCCTCCTACCTATACCTAAGTCAAGTCATGCTCCTGTCTGTCTTCCTCTTTCCTCTTGGTCCCTTCTTGTGATCTGTTTCCTGCCTTTCAGCCAGACTGAGCGGTCAAAATAAAAGCTTGTCCATTTGCTCCTGTACTTTAATGGCTTTAAACCTCTTATGTCACCTACGAGGTTGGGAATAATTTCCAAGACAGATAATAGGTATTGTTGATGAAGGTAGGTAGAATTGGTATGTTGATGGAGATGTTGGTGAAACCCAAGGGCTGATGAACCAAGAGCTATTAAAATGAGCATGTTCTTGCTTGGTCTGTGTCCTCAAGAAAGGCTCACATATAGAGCCAGGTATGGTGGCACACACCTTTAATCCCAGCACCCGGGAGGCAGAGGCAGGTGGATCTCTGTGAGTTCAAGGCCAGCCTGGTCTACATAGTGAGTTCCAGGCCAGCTGGGGCTACAGGGAGACCCTGTCTCAAAAAGACCAAAAGAAAAAAAAAAAGGCTCATATACAAATGCCCCGAGGTGTGTATGAATGTGTGTTTCAGCCTTGCCCATATCCAGTGTTGGACCACTACAACCTAAATTGCATATGAAGAAGTTCATGATTAAATGAGATGTGGTACTGCCACACACAGTGAGTTTTACATGTGTTTGCTAGTAAAGAAGCACCCCAGAATATAATGTTAATGAAAAAGCAATTGCAGAAGTATATAGTATGATTCTATTTGCATAAAACTCAAACTGTACGTACTTACACAAATAGAACTATGGATATGAAAAATGTCACAAATGGATTATGGTGGAAAATGCCTGGAGAGGACACTAGTGAGGGAAATTCAGAGCTGACGGCCACTTGGTTTACTTCTTGTGTTCTTCAGAATAAGAATGTATTTGTGTTTTGTGAAATTAAAAGTTAAAAATAAATGATTTTTTAGCCAGGCATGGTGATGCATGCCTTTAATCCCAGCAGGGGCAGGGGGATCTCTGTGAGTTCAAGGCTGGCCTGGTGTACATAGAGAGTTCTAGGCCAGCTGGGGCTACAGGGAGACCCTGTTTAAAAAAAATAGTAATAATAATTGATGTTTTCAAATCCCATTATGAGTTCCATTAGGAAAAAAATCCAAAGCTTTTTCACTTCTCCAAAGGCCTCATGAAATCTGTCCTGTGTCATCCAACCACATCTCTGACCCTCGCTCACTGTGTCCCAGTCACACAAGCGATCCTTGGTCACTCAGTGGGCCAAGTTTCTTCCAACTCTAGATCTTCACACACGTTTTCTGTGTGGGAGATTCACCCCGTCTCCATTCCTGTTCTTAAGTCCACATTCTTCATCTGTCTCCCAGGTCAAGTCCTTACCAACCCTGAGGAACTTTCCCTGACTTTCCCTCCTAATTAGCCTGGACCACCTGCAGACCAGAGCTACTCTTTCTGTGGTCGTTAAATCCTTGCTTTCTCCTTCTGGGCTTTTATCACAGTTTCCATAAGTGTATAAATGCTTAATGACTATCTTCTCTCTGGATAGGGGGGCAAGTCTTGTTTACATCTATTTAGGCAGTTCCCAACTCAAAGCCTGACACATAGTAGGCATTCAGCAAGTTTGCATGAAGGAATACATGTTTTCTATGTGGTCTGCTTCAAGGGATGCTATGATTGTATGAAAGTTTTAAAGAGTAGTACAGAAGAATTCACAAATGTTTGAAAGAAACATCATCATACCCTAATAATTATGTAAACTTTGCAATTTTGTATTGCTACATTTCTATTTTTAAATGATAACTTGGTATTAAATACATTTAAGATTGTTATAATGTTATGATTGAATCTAGTACTGGGTTTATATGGGAAAATCAAGTTCGGAGTCCCCTTTCACCCAGGACTTGTTCACAAACTGGCTCATCTTTTCTTTTCTTTTTTTGGCCTTTTTGAGACAGGGTCTCTTTGTAGCCCCAGCTGTCCTGGAACTCACTATGTAGACCAGGGTGGCCTTGAACGCACAGAGATCCATCTGCTTCTGCCTCCCGAGTGCTGGGATTAAAGGCATGTGCCACCACGCCCGGGTAAACTGGCTCATCTTTAAAACGTGGCATGGACTGGTGCTTCTGAGTGTTAATTCTCAAATTGGTCATGATCATTGTTCTTGTGCCTTTTGTACCGGCATCTTTATTTTACCAGTAAATGATCCTGATGGAGTTGTATACAGTGTACAGGTACATACTAACCACACCATCTTTCACATCTGTAATGATTCTTAAACAGGCAGATGAAGCATATTGCATTGGCCCAGCTCCATCTCAGCAGAGCTACCTCTCTATGGAGAAGATCATTCAGGTGGCTAAGAGCTCTGCTGCACAGGTAAGAACTGTGGGAAAAGAAAAAACAAAAACTACAACACCAACCAATTAAGTTTTGTGTAATTTATGCAGAATTACTTGTTTGTATAAATGTTCTGTTTGACCCACAGTTTTTACATATCTGTTGGGTTGTATTATAAATTAGACACACCTTACTGGATCCTCTCTACTTAGAATCTTTTGGGAAATAGGTGGAGGGAGAATCTTAACTGAAGTTAGAATTAAGAGAGAATTCAGTTCTTCTGCCTTGAAAGCCAGGTGCTAGGACAGCAAGTGTTTGAGGAGGAAATTACAAGGTGAGATAGAACCAAGAGAGAAATCTTGCCCCTTGATTTTTCCATCTCATTCCAGCGCCCTTCCATGTTTTTCCAATATCCCAGACCCAAAACTTGGATATTATTACATCTCTTTCATCCTTCAAAATGAAATAGCAACTGATTTGTGTTTAATCTTTCTTTAAAATGTTTTCAGAAATATTTTTTTGTTCACACAGACCTTCGGCTTTCTTATCTAGATTTCTGAGTCTCAGATGAATCCCCTCCCTCTAACTCTCTCTTGAAAACAATGTGTTTGTTTATATATTTTGAGGGTGGAGTGCACATGCCACAGTGTTCATGTGGAGGTCAGAGGACAACCTGTGGAAATTGGTTTTCTCATTGCAACATGTGGCCCCAGGGATCAAACACTGGTCATAGGGCTTGGAAACAAGTGCACCCCCCCGCCCCCATCTCAAAACTCATCCTGGAAAATTGACTTTGGAGCTGATGAGGAAGAAAGTGGGAGGAGGTGAGAAGGCAGAGAAGTTAATTATACACATGGGTATTTGTTCTTGTTTTGACAAATTTCTTAGTTTTTGGAGTTAAAAGTCCCTTAAGGATGGTGTGCTGGTTTAGGGTTAATTGTCAACTTGACAGACTCTAGAATCACCAGGGAAACAAACCTTTGGCCATGCCTATGAGGATCTAACTTAATTGGGTTAATTGATGTGGGAAAACCCCTAGGCTGGGGAATCTGGATTGTATGAAATGGAGAAAGAAAGCTGAGCACTGGCATTCATTCATCCCTCTGCCTCTTGACTATGGATGTGCCATTACCAGCTGCTTCAAGCTCCTGCTGCCTTGATGTCCCTGCCATTATGGACCATACTTTGAGCTATGAACTAACAAACTCTTCAGTTGGTTTTGTCAGGGTATTTTTCACAACAGCAGGAAAAGAAATGAAGATAGAAAATTGATATCAAGAAGTAGGATATTGTGGTGAACCTAACCATGTGGTTTTTGGGCCTTTGGAACTATTTGTGGCTGGAATGTGGAAGAATTTACAAATGTGATATTTTTACCAAGAACTTGACTTCATCCTGACCATTTCCTGAGAACCTGAATGAAGCTGAATTTAAGGATATTTGAGGGGCTGGAGAGATGGCTTAGCAGTTAAGAGTGCTTGCTGTACCCAACTTCTGTTCCCAGCACCCATGTCAGGCAGCTCACAATCTCCTGTAACTCCAGTTCCAGGGGACCTGACACCTCTTCTTGCCTCCACATTATATACATTCATACACACACGTAAAAATATAAATAAATCTTTAAAGATAATAGATTTAGTTTTTTGTTGGTGGTTTTCTTTTGGGGGTTTTTGGTTTTTTTATTTGTTTTTTTCTTTTTGAAGCAGGGTCTCCCTGTAGCCCCAGCTGTCCTGGAACTCACTATGTAGACCAGGCTGGCCTTGAACTCACAGAGATCCACCTGCCTCTGCCTCCCAAGTGTTGGGTCTACAGGAGTGCGCCACCACGCCCAGCTTTTAAGTAGGTAAGGTATATGAGCATAAAGTTCTATACAAGGAGAGTGCAGTCAACAAAGTAGCTATGATTATTAGATTAGCACCATTAAAAAGATTGGGACAATAGGAAAGGCTCCTTGCAGACAAAACCTATCAAAGACTCCAGCTTATAAAGACGCAAATTTATATGATAGGAGAAAGCCTAAACTGAAAGCAGCCGAGTTCTCTGCTCCTTGAAATCAACTTCCTAGGATAGTATTTCCCCAGGGTCAGCATGCAGAAGCTGATAAAACTGGTCCAGCAGGGCCAGGCTCCACAGTGATCTGGCTGCAAAACTTGGCAGTGTTATCCACATGGTACTGATTTTGGAGACATGAAAGATTTTAAGGAGGTCATGGAGTTTACTCCATGGGTTTGGAGCATTTGAGGCCAGACAGCATCTGGGAGGGATGAAGTCCCTGCGAGGAGGCCTTGAGAGGCATTGCATGAAGTTGTGAAGGCGAGGCCCAAGTTGCTGTGGAGATTCCAAGATGTTGGCGATATAACAAAAAAATTTATGTATAGATAGATGTATATTCTAGGGACGGCCATGTGATCTATTAATTCCATTTAAAGTTTATTACTGGGCCGGGCATGGTGGCGCACGCCTTTAATCCCAGCACTCGGGAGGCAGAGGCAGGCAGATCTCTGTAAGTTCAAGGCCAGTCTGGTCTACATAGTGAGTTCTAGGACAGCCGTGGCTACAGGGAGACCCTGTCTCAAAAAGACCAAAAAAAAAAAAAAAAGTTTATTACTATCGTAAGTGTGCATGTATGTATATATGCAGTCAGGTGGGGGTGGGACTTGCATGTGGAGATCAGAGGCAACCTTGTAGAGTCAATTTTCTTCCCCATCTTTATATTGGTTCTGGAATCAAACCCAATTCAGAAAGACTTGCACAACAGGCACTTTACCAACTGATCCATTAAACTGGGCCCTGTTAATTCTACTTCTAGGTATATATCTAAGAATTTATAATGGGGATTCATATCTGTACACCAAGGTTCACAGCAATTTTATTTATAGAAGCTAATAGAAATAGCTCACATGTCTACACAAAGATTAGTGGGTGAACAGAATGTGGAATATACATGCAGCCTTATGCAGCCTTTAAAAATGAAATTCTGATACAAGATACCACATGGATGAACTTTGAAAACTGCTAAGTGAGAGGCTGGAGAGATGGCTCAGTGGTTAGGAGCACTGAATGCTCTTGCAGAGGACCTGAGTTCGATTCCCAGCATCCACATGGCAGCTATGAACCGTCTTTAACTCCAGTTCCAGGGGAATCCGAAGCCCTCTCTGACCTCTGTGGCATTGCACAACACGAGTGCGCTCACATACATGCAGACAATATACTCATACACATAGAATAAAAATAATAAAATAAAATATTAAAAAAAAGAAAACTGCTAAGTGAAATAAGCTACTCCCAGAGGGACAAATGGAAAGAGACATAGTGACTGCCTGAGAATATGGGTTGTATGTGGGGTGGTGATGCCGTTCTGGAGATGGGAGGTGGTGACAGATGGAGAGCATCATCAGTGAGCATGATGCTACTGAATTAGACACTTAAAGGTGCTTAAACTGGTAAGCTGTGTAGATTACCACAGTTTTTAAAAAACGGTTGAGGGTGTAACTCAGTATTAGACCACTTGCCTAGAATGTGTGAGGCCCTGGGTTTGATCCCAGGCATAAAGTGAAAAATGGAAAGAAAGAAATAGATATTTGTGGACTAGAAAAAGGCTTTAAAGCTCCAACATGACTGTTCCAGACATCTCTTTGGGAGCAGGAATGAGGAGACCTTGGTGTCCCTGTCAGCTGTGTCTGGAGAGGCTTCCATGGAGGAGGCCAGCATCACCAGCATCAAAGCTTTGCCAGTTGAGAACCTTGTTGTGTTTTTTCTTATTTCTAGGCCATTCATCCAGGATATGGTTTTCTTTCAGAAAATATGGAATTTGCTGAACTTTGTACACAAGAAGGAATTATATTTATAGGTCCTCCTTCATCTGCAATTAGAGACATGGGTATAAAGAGGTAAGAGTTATCTTTTTTTTAAATGTAGCCATATTAAGGCCACTTGAAATAAGTTTATTTTACTATTAAACCACTAAGTTTACTTCAGTGAGCATTTTTAATTTTTTATTTTATTATTTGTGTGTTTATATGCATGCATGTGTGTGTGTGTGTGTGCAGTCATTCTGCCTTTATGTGGGTTCTGGGACTCAAGCTCAAGTTGTCAGACTTTACAGGGCAAACACTTTATCTGCTGAGCCGTCTCAACAGTTCCATTAATAGGCATTTAAAAAATTTTTTGATTTATTTTATGTATATGAGTGTTGTACCTGCATGTATATAAGTGCACCCATATGGTGCAGTACCCATGGAGGCCAGAAGAGGGCATCAGACATCTGGGATTAAATAAGGAAAGATGAGGGACAGGAGAGCTGGCTCAGCATTAAGAGTACTGGCTGCTCTTGCAGAGGACCCAAGTTGGTTTCCAGCACCTACATGGCAGCTAACAACTGTCCTTAACTCCAGTTCTAAGAGATCCATTGCTTTCTTCTGGCCTCCATGGGTATTGCATGATGCAGGTACACTTACATGCATGCAGACAAAACATTCATGCATATAAACTAAAAATAAATTAATTAAAAATACTATGAGATGAGCTACCACGTGCAATAAGAAAAAGTACCTAGCAGGGGTTTTGTAATTGTATTATTTGTATGCATATTATTATTGTATAGTATTGATCCGAGACTCAAGTCTTTTCTTTATTTGTGGGATGGTTTCTTTAAAGACTTACTATAATTTATAGATATCTTAGAATTGAGGCATTTTAGTGTTTTTACTCTAAAAGCACATCCAAGTCCATCATGGCTGCTGCTGGAGTGCCTGTTGTAGAAGGTTACCATGGCGAGGACCAGTCTGACCGGTGCCTGAAAGAGCACGCAGGGAGAATCGGTTATCCTGTCATGATTAAAGCCGTCCGAGGAGGAGGAGGAAAAGTAAGGCTGTGGGTGCCTGCCTTTGGCATTTCTGGATAGTGGTTTGAGTTTATACTTTGGTCACACAATCCTTCCTTTCTTAGGGCATGAGGATTATTAGATCAGAAAAAGAATTTCAAGAGCAATTGGAATCAGCCCGGAGAGAAGCGAAGAAGTCTTTCAATGATGATGCTATGCTGATCGAGAAGTTCGTGGACACACCAAGGTCTGCTGTTGTTTTTTGTTTGTTTTTCTGACTCAGATTATTTTTTTATGCTCAAGGACAAGTTATTAAAGTGGAAAAACCCTAGGGTGGGCGAGATATGAATCTCATGGCTGCCTGGGAGACAGAGTGGGAAAGAGAAGGGGTAAAAGACATGCTGCTGAGGCAAGGTGTGGTAGAGGTCGGTCACCTGGCAGCAGGCAGCCACATGGTAGGGAAGGGAGCTTTATAAAGAGTAAAGGGTCTACGGCCACCGGGGTCGGGCCTGGTTAGTACTTGGATGGGAGAAAAAGAGTAAGGGGGCCTGGAGAGACGACTCATCAGTTAAGAGTACTCACTGCCCTTGCAAAAGACCTAGGTTCGAATCCCAGCTCCCACATGGTGGCTTATAGCCCTCTGTAATTCTTGTTTCAGGGGATCCAACTCCCTCTTCTGACCTAAGTAGGCACAACACAACACAGGTGCACTTACATACGTGCATGCATAACACTCACACAAAATAAAATTTAAAGAAAGAAAAGAGAGTAAGAAAACCCAAAGCATTGGTTAGGGAACTTAAAAGCATTTTTTAGACTCTAGCCAACATTCAAAAGAAAAAGTGAAGAAAAAGAAATAGTTCTGCCTTTTCCTCAGAAAGGCAGGCAGTCCCAGGTAAGCCTCACAGCGACTTTTATGGGGATTGCCTGATTCCGATTCTCATGTTACGTTATAAAAGCAATTCATGTATTTCTATGATATGAAATTATAATATGTTGTCTATTAGTGCCCCATTTTCACCTTCACATAGACGATTAGAGGACAGTATGCTTTCTTCTAAGCACTTTCTATGTGAATAGAAACAGACATGCATGAACACGTAGGAAACAAAGTATGTCCGAAAGAACAATGGATAGAATCTTGTTTAATAGTACAAATACTATACAATATTATTATATCCTAGATACTGTCCCATATCAGTAAATAATGTATCTGTCTCATTACTTTTATTCAAAGCTTAATGGCTCTGTGATACTGCTATCCCGGAAACTTACACAATGTTTGTTACTAGTAAAACTTAGGATTTTTTTCCAGCATAAAAATATTCTAATAAATCAGTTATAATTAGAGTTCTAAGTATCAATTGAGCTATTAAAAAATGGAATTAGTTAACTAAACTGAATTATTACAATTTCTAATGTTTTCTGATATGGTAATAAATTGTAACCCCAGTACCTAATACCTATGTTGCACTTATCATGTGCCTGGTTCTGTATGTTTTCCATGTACTAAGTAACCTTACTGTCCTTCTAATTCTAACACTAGCCTGCTTAGGGCTGTACTACTACTTTTATTTTGCAAGTAATGAAATTAAGCACCAGCATGACCATGCTAAACATCAGGGACTGAGTCGGGCAGTTTGACTCTCGAGTTCATACTCTAAACCATTGTACTTCCATCAAGATTCCTAATTTTTTTTCTGTTATTTAAAATAAGATGCTGATGATAAAGTTTCCTATGTCCTAGATTTTTATGTTAATTTTAAAAAATATTTTATTTATTATTTTTATTTTATGTGTGTGAGTGTATTCCCTGCATATGTTTAAGTGCACCCATGTTGTGCAATGCCTGAGGAGGTCAGAAGAATGTGTCAGATTCCCCCAAAACTGGAGTTAGGGATGGTTGTTAGCCACCATGTGGGTGCTGAGAATCAAACCTGGGTCCTCTGCAAGAGCAGTCAGTGCTCTTAATTGCTGAGCCATCTTTCTAGCCCTTGTTAATTTTTTAAAATATGTGATTTATAAGTCAAGTGAAAAGAACAATTCCTCCATTTTTAAATTTTCTTTGAGGAAGATCAGGTATTTTGGATTCAAGATTGAGGTTATGGACTTAGAAATATAGTTGCAATCTTATAAAATCTTTTGGTCAACATAGCCAACAGTTTAGGTTAACGAATGTGATATCCATCATCCCTAGTGAAATACACTAACAGGTATGTTTCATTTTAAAATAGGCATGTGGAAGTGCAGGTGTTTGGTGATCACCACGGCAATGCAGTCTACTTGTTTGAAAGAGACTGTAGTGTGCAGAGGCGCCATCAAAAGATCATTGAGGAGGCCCCAGCGGTAAGAAAATCCACTCTGGTGCAAGTATCTGACAGAGAGTTATCAGCCGAACAGTGAGGCTTCAGCATGCATGTTAAATTATAATTAACTAGAATTAATTACACGAACGAAATGGAATTGTCTTTTTTTTTTCTGTCTTTTTGAGACAGGGTCTCCCTGTAGCCCCAGCTGGCCTGGAACTTGCCATATAGACCAGGTTGGCCTCCAACTCACAGAGATCCGCCTGCCTCTGCCTCCCGAGTGCTGGGATTAAAGACATGTGCCACCAGGCCCAGCTGGATGTTATACAGAGGACTCTTGTTTTAGCAACTATTTAAAGATGTTCCTAAAATATATTAGTCATTTTCCTGCTACTAGTTATCTTGTGGAGGAAAGATAGCAAGAAAATTTAAAAAAAAAAAAAAAAGAATGACTAAGATTTTATTGATTGAGGACCAGTACACAGACATTTCAATTTGTACACAATTCTTAATACACATACCAAAAGTCTAAAGAACCACATACTGTGTTTCTTTTAAAAAGTCAGTCCAGTGATGTTCCAGCTTCCAACCTGGTAGTACATTTCCCTTCGGGGGACTCATTAACAGCAACATCAAACGCTGACCAACAATCCTTACTTCTACTGAAGTTTGTTACCACATACACTAGACACTCAAATTTTCATCTTTCACAGCACATGATCAAAACTGTTAGGAAAACTGGACCACTGTGACCAGTTGTCACAGAGGGCACACAGTTCTGACAGGATGATGACCAAGGGGTGGTTTGGGGTTTTTTTTTTTTTCTTTTTTTTTTTTTTCAGAAAACAGTTTACTAAAAACACAGGACTAGAAGTCATCTAAAATATTCCAGACATATTAAATGCACAACTGAGACTCCAAATTGCCATTTAGTATGCTCTGGGTCACAGGATACAAAACTAACCCCCCCTCTATGGAATGTTACACTGACACCCAAGACAGTCACAGCCTCCCTTGATTCAATATCCCACTATATTCTGGTTGTACCAAAAAATAACCAGCGAATGATTTCACCTCTTTAAAAAAATCATTTACGCCAGGTGTGGTGGCGCACGCCTTTAATCCCAGCACTCCCAGGCATGTGGATCTCTGTGAGTTCGAGGCCAGCCTGGTCTACAGGTTCCCGGACAGCTGGGGCTACAGGGAGACCCTGTCTCAAAAACAACAAAAATCATTTATACTTAAAAAATGGGATGAGGTGGGATTTTCCCCTTTCAAAACTGTTTCTAGAACTGCTAAAAAACTTGCATTTACAAAATAGCTGATAAAAATATTCCTCTGGGTTGTATAAGGGCAGCGGGGAGACTGAGGGCAGGATGCGGGTCTGTTGGACTTGGTGTCTTCCCTCCATCAGAGGTGGGCTCTCTGCCTGAGGGCAGGATGCGGGTCTGCTGGACTTGGTGTCTTCCCTCCATCAGAGGTGGTCTCTCTGCCTCACTGTCTCTCCATGCTCCTCCCGCCGCCCTGACTGCTGCTACCGAGATAGTCATTCTTATTTGGAAACTTTTGTTCCCTTAATATTGTTTACATCTCTTTGAGCCTCCTTCATCATTGGTTGAAGTTGTTATGAGAGTCAGGTCAGGACTACCTTTTTGGGGATTTATATTTCTTTTGGCCCTACAACGCCATTAATGAGGTGCATATTTCTGTTTCTAAAATATCAGAATCTGAGGTTTCTAATCAGTTTGTTCTTACACTGTATTCAAAATATAATTTTTGTCGCAGAATATATTATACCACTTGAAGTACATGTCAGTAATTCCAGTAAAGCTTTATTTTCAGGCAGTGATTACTTGAAAGTATATGTGTAAAGCAATTCTTAAAAACTTTGCTTGGTGACATATATTTCTTTTTATGAACCTTTGTTAATTTGGAATGTCAAAGTGTTCCTTTATTCCAAGAAGTCATTAGGTACAATTCAGATTGCTCTATCATCGTGAAACAAAAAGGGATCATTTAAAGTTTTCACATTGATACTTGACAGTCTTTAAATTTTTTTGTAGCCTGGTATTAAACCTGAAGTAAGGAAGAAGCTTGGAGAAGCTGCAGTCAGAGCTGCTAAGGCCGTAAATTATGTTGGAGCAGGTGTGTTAAAATTTCCTTTCGACAGAAGGAAAAAATTTATTTTTGTTTCAGGAGTTGAAAAAAAAACCATAAATCAGTGGCTTCTCAGGTTTTTGTTTGTTTTGTTTTGTTTTGTTTTTGCCATATCTTCAATAAGAAATATATATTTAAGACCTATTATATACATATAAGTGATTGTGCTTATATAAATACAGATTTAAAACAAGCATTTTACTAATCAGTACTTAGTGTAATCATATATTTTCAGTTTCATTGATTTCTGCTGTAATTGTTAAACTTTTATTTCATTTATTTATTTACTATGTCTGTGTGTCTGTCTATATATGTGTATATGCATGCAGGTGTGCTTCAGCCCATTTGTGGAGGTCAGAGGACAGATTTTAGGAGTCATTTCTGTCCTTTCACCCTATGGGGCTCCAGGGACTGAACTCGGGTCGTCAGGCTTTGACAGCAAGTACATTTACCTTCTGAGCCATCTTTCTAGCCCTCTGCTGTAATTTTTATTATTTTATTTCTTTTGATGGATTATTTGATTTAATTTGCCTTTTTTTTTCTTGCTTTCTAAAACAGAAGCTTGTATTACTGACTAGTCTTCCTTTCTTTTTTTAATATTTATTTTATTTTATGTGTATGAGTGAATTGCCTGTATGTGTGTCAGTGCACCCGTGTCATGCAGTGCTCACAGAGGTCAGAAGGTGTCAGATCCCTTGGAACTGGAGTCACAGATGGTCATTAGCTACCATGTAGGTGCTGGGAATGGAACCTAGGTCCTCTGCCAGAGCAGCCAGTGCCCTTAACCACTAAGCCATCTCTCTGGCCTAATTCTTCCTTTCTGATATATACATTTAACAGCTCTAAATGCCCCCATAGGCATTATTTCTTCTACATCCCATACATTTTTTTAGTTGTATTTTCATTTAATATAGAACACCATATTCTTTAATTTTCAGGTGTGTTTCTGTTACTGGTTTCTAATTTAGTACCATTGTCTTCTGAGAGCAGAAACCATAGATACCTGCTTCATTATTATAAGTGCTAATGAACATTAATTGTACAAATTGATAGTTATGCGTTCCCTTTCCACATTTCATGCTTCAGTCACGCTCACCCCCCCACCCCCCCAAGTTCCCTTTCCATTCCACCTACTTTCAGGTCCCATTTGCTTGTTTGTGTCCAGATAGAAGAGAAAATATAAACTCGTCTTTCTGTGTCTGGCTTTTTGTGAGTAACCTGATCTCAAGTTCCATTCATTTTCCTGCAGATGACTAATTTCATTCTTATTTATGACTGACTAATACTTGACTGCATCTTTTTAACATTTTCTTTTATGTGAATGAGTATATTCCCTGCATGTGGTTTTTGTTTTATTTTGTTTTGTTGCTGGTCTTTTTGAGACAGGGTCACCCTGTAGCTCCAGCTGGCCTGGAACTCACTAGGTAGACCAGGCTGGGCTTGAACTCACAGACATTCCCCCGCCTCTGCCTCCTAAGTGCTGGTATTAAAGGCGTGCACCACCACACCTGGTTTTCCCTATATGATGTAAGTGCATCTGTTGCATCTGTGCCTTGGACTGCCTTTGGAGGACAGGAGAGGGTCTTGGATCCCCTGGAACTGGAGTTATGAACAGTTGTTAGCCTCATGGGTTCTGGATTTGAACCTGGGTCCTCTGCAAGAGCAGCCACTGCTCTTAACCATTGAGCCATCTCTCTAGCCCCTCTTTGTTCATTTGTTAACAGATACCTTAGCTGATGTCATAACTTGGCTATTGTGAATAATCCTGCAATAGCGTGGATGAGCAGATAGATATAAGAACATGCTCATGTTATTTGCTTTGGACAAGTACTGCCAGGTGTTGTATAGCTGGATCATATCATAGTTCTGTCTTTTTTAAGTTTCCAGAGTGATTATATGAATTTGCATTCTCACCAGCAGGATATAATGGCTTTTTCTCCACATTCTACCAGCATTTGTTATTCTGTGATTTTGTAAATATTTTTGTATTACCCATTCTAACTGAGGCAAGATGGAAACTCAGTGTAGTTTCTGTTTGCATTTCCTTGATGGCTAAAGATGAACTTTTCCCCCCCATTTGTACTTACTCTTTTAAGAAGTTGGGGCTGGAGAGATGGCTCAGCAATTAAGAGTACTGGCTGCAGCTGTCTGTAACTCCAGTTCCAGGGGCTCCACCACCCTCTTCTGACCTCCACAGGCATTGCATGACGTGGGTGCACTTACATGCAGACAAATACACTCATACATAAAATAAAAATAATAAAATATTTTAAAAAGAAGTGTATGTTCAGTATGTTTGACCATTTTAATGTGGTTATTCTTTTGATGTGAAGCATTTTGAGTTCTTTATATATTCTGAATGTTAATCCTCTGTGAGATGAGAAGTTTCCCTATTTGGTAGGTGTCTCTTCTCTCTTTTCTTTGCTGTGCAGAAACTTTTAAATATGCTATAATCCCATTTATCAGTTCCTCTTTTTGTTTCTGAGCTGTTGAAGTCTTACTTAGGAAATCACTGCTTGTGCCAATATTTTGAAGTGTTTTCCCCTGTATTTCTTCTAGCATGAGTTTCAGGTCTCACACATGGCCTTCCCCATTTCCAGTTGACTTTTTACAAAAGTGACAGATAGGCATCTAGGTTCAGTCTTGTGCATGTGGATATCTAGTTTTCCCAGCACAGTTTGTGGAGAGGCTATCCTTCTGCAGTGTGTGTTGGAGCACTGTTGTTGAAAAGACAATCTATTTGGGAAATGTTTTCTTGTGCTGATATAGTGGAATATTCTTTAGATGGTTGTTAATTCTATTTCATTTGTAGTGGAACTTAACTTGGATGTTTATTTGTTGATTTGGTTGGATTTATCCTTTGGTAAGAGTGGTATTTTAGAGTCTATCTCTCCCTGATGTTCTGCCAGTGTTTATTTTATAAAACTGGGTGTTTGGGCTGTGATGATTGTTCCTTTTATCAATATTTCATGATATTTGTTCCTTCTGATCAATTCTGGTGTGAAGCCTTCTTGGTCAGATAAAAGTGTAGTTATCCTGCTCCCTTTCTGGTTCTATGTGCTTGGACTATCGCTTTTCTGCCCTTTCCCTTTTAGTCTATCTTGGTTGATGAGTTTCCTGTAGGCAGCAAGTTGGTGGTCCTTGTTTACCAACCAATCTAAATCTTTTAATTGGTGAATCAATTCCATTTATGTTTGGGGTTATTACTGATGATTTGTAGTAGCTGTTGTCATTTTGTTGTTTCTCTTGTTTTCAGTAACCTCCATTCATTTATTTCTCCTTTATTGATATTAGGGATAAAGGCATTAACAGTGTTTCTTTCCTAATTCTTTGCTTGTTTGCTCTTCTCATGGGATTTCTTCTTTTCCTGCTCCAGTGGTTGTTAGTCTTGCTTCCCCTTCTGGATATAGAATTCACTGAAGAATCTTCTGTAATACTAGTTTAGTGTTCATGAATTTCTTTAGTTTATGCTTGTCTTGATAGTTCCTTTGATTTTGAAGGATAATTATTCTGGACAGCATTCTGTTTCTTTTTAGGTCCAAGATACATCACTCAGGACCCTCCTGGCCTTTGGAGTTTCTGCGGAGAAATAGCCTGTTATTCTGACGGGTTTGAATTTAAAAAGTGATTAGTGTGTCTGTCTTGTAGCTTTTAAGATTCTTTGTACTTTTGGCAGTTTAACTGACAGGTAGAGAGGTTCTTTTCTGGTCATATCTATTTAGAGTGCTAAATGCCTCCTATACTTGGATATCGTGTTTCCAAAGACTTGGGAAATTCTGCTATTGTTTCACTGAATGGGTTTTCTATGCTATTACCCTGTACTTTGGTTCCTTCATGTCCTCCTGTTATTTTTATTAATGGTGTCTCAGTGATCCTACATGTTCTGTTCATTCAGACTAGTTTTCTTTATTACTGTCTGTTCTAATCTATAAACCTTATCTTCAAGCCCTGATATTCTTGTTTTATTTGATCTAGTCTGTTGACAAGTCTTTCAGCTAGGTTTTTTTGTTTATGGCAGGATTGAGGCAGTTTCTTAAAACTGGGCTAGGATGTAGCTCAATGCCATAACCCACTCACATGCTCAGGGTACCCAGGCTCTGTTTCCAGTCCTCTCACTGAGAAAGAAGAAAGCAAAAGCAGTGACAGCCAAAGCATAGAAGCAAACCAGATAGAGAAATATAACAACTAATTAAGAGCATTTACCACCACAGTACCAGTAACAGTAGAGGAAAGAGGCACAAAAACAATATGGGATGGACTAAGAAGTTACTAGTTAATAAAGATAAGAATAAAATACTAAAGAATATGTAAAATATTTATTCTTTCATTTTATGTGTATGAGTGTATTGCCTACGTATGTGTAAGTGTACCCCTGTTGTGCAGTGCCTGCGGAGATCAGAAGAGGGCATCGGATCCCCTAGAACTGGAGTTATGAATAGTTTTTTAGCCACCATGTTGGTGCTGAGAATAGAACCCAGGTCCTCTGTAAGAGCAACCAGTGCTCTTAACTGCTGAGCCATCTCTCCAGCCCCACAAAATAAGCCAGGCATGGTGGCTCATGCCTTTAATCCCACACTCAAGAGGCAGAGACAGGCAGATCTCTGAGTTCAAGGCCAGCCTGGTCTACATAGTGATTTCCAGGCCAGCTGGGGCTACAGGGAGACCCTGTCTCAAAAAGACCCCCCCCAAAAAAAGAATATTTAAAAGGGAATGAGAAATACAGAAAGTAATTTTTAAAGGAGTTAAATTAGAGAAGATTGAATTAAATATAAAAAATGGAGAGCTAGGGATATCACTTAGTGGTAGAGTACCTACCTAACACATGCAGGGTTCTGGGTTTGATCCTTAACATCCCAGAGAGAAAGAGGGAGAGGAATAGGAAAACAGTTATGAAAGGAAAATAATGAGAAAAAAAGAGAAGAGAGGTACAAACAAAATTGAGGCCTGCGCAGGCCCTTGCCTGACTGTGGCTTGGGGTTGCTGTCTGCCTCATAAAGCAAAAGTGGAAGTTTTGTCTTCTGGGAGACCAAGTCATTGTCTTCTCTGGAAAGTTCTCCTTCCTCTCCTACATATAGGCAACTTTGGCATTTTCCAGGACTTAGGGCCAGGGATGGAGGCCTTATGAGCCAAGAGTTCCAGTTGAGGTCAGGAGCTATGACAGTAACTATAATGAGAAAATCCAGAATGCAGCATAGTTAACTAGAGCCTAAATTTCACAACAGTTATAGAGTTAGACTTCTTAATAATGATTAAAAAAAATATATAGCCTTCCCCAGGGATGTTTTATATGTGTATATTCTCACATATTTATATTTAATATAACTTACATCTCAAACATAACGTCTTAGTTTCTTTTCCTGTTGCTGACAGGATAAGATAAAATACCTGACGAAAACAACTCAAGACAGAGTTTATTCTGGCTCACAGGTCAAGAGTACAGTTCACTGTGGCCAGAAAGTCAGAATAGCAGGAATTTGAAGCAGCGGGTCACATCACCATTAGGAAGCTCATGGCAATGGGTGCAGTGCTGCTTCTCAGCTCCCTTTCCTCACTTACGCAGTCTAGGGTTCCAGCTAGGGAACGGTACCACCCACCTCAGTTAATACAGTCAAGATAATCCCCCACCATACTCCTCAGTTAATACAGTCAAGATAATCCCCCACCATACACCTCGGTTAATACAGTCAAGATAATCCCCCAGCATACTCCTCAGTTAATACAGTCAAGATAATCCCCCGGCACCCACCTCAGTTAATACAGTCAAGATAATCCCCCACCATCATGCCCAGAGGCCTTGTCTCCCAGGTGATTCTAGATTATATCAAGTGGACAGCACTAACCATCACACATACACAGATATAACAAAAAAAAAGACTTTGTATGTTTCCTTTCCACCAAAGAGGTCAGTTGTGGAAGCAAAAGTAAATGTACTCAGTGTTTGCTGAGCGAAATTTTCAGGGACCTCTGGAGTCAGCGTAGGCCCCTGTCATTTCCCCTTTGTGTGTTTTGCTCCCCTAGCAATCAGAGGGGGTAGTTTATGGGCAGAGCCCATTGTAATCACTCATGGCTGCCCTGCTGGTTTTACTTTCTCTGCACAGCTGAAGGCAGAGCTGACGTCTCTAGCACCTTCTTTGCTGGGGCGGGGGAGCATGCTATGATGGTGTGGGGTCACAATCATCCATATGTTATGGAGAGAGAGCTGTGCTAGATTTCACTTGTGTTCTACTCCGTCTGGTATTCCAGAACTTAGCTCCCACATTTTATCATGCGACTACTTGCCTTTCCCCCACCGTGGTTCTCTTGGGCATCATGGACCAGCTTTCACTGCACAGAGGTTTCCTCAGTTTTATTTCAAATCTTTCCCCTGTAGCCAAACCAGTTCTGAAGGCCATTCAGTGTATATGCTTTGCTGCAAGTTCCTAGAGACAGAAAAATGTTACAACCTTTGACCCCCAAAACAGTATGTTCAGACAAGACATCCTCTCTCAAGATGGTGCGAATGGTACTGCAGTACAGAACTTACCTGTGTGGTGTGATGTGCAAATTCTAGGTCTCCTTTTGTATAAACTGCCCTTCTGCCCAGTGCTGAGGCCTGAGCTAATGGTGCTTTCTTTATCTGTCTCTTTAGCTGGATCCCACTGCCAGACGCTTTGTGGCTGGTTCACATGAAGTACTTTGTTTTACTCTCAGTCCTTCTGGGTCTTGTCCAGTATCTGTTCACAACTAAACTTCATTGTCTTCCCATAGTCACCCAGAGCAGAGCGTGTCTGCTCCCCAGTTGTTTTGATTCTGTTCCCTAGAGCAGCAGGTGATAGTTGTGTGCTTCTAATCTGCCATTTCCATTTCTTAAAATTTGTTTTTTTCTTTTTGAGACAGGGTCTCTCTGTAGCCCCAGCTGGCCTGGAACTCACTTTGTAGACCAGGTTGGCCTTGAACTCACAGAGATCCTCCGGCCTCTGCCTCCCAAGTGCTGAGATAAAAGGCTTGTGCCACCATGCCCAGCCCATTTCTTAAAATTTGTTAAGGTGTGAGTTATACCCCAGAATGTGGTTGTTCTTGATGACTGATCATTCCAAGTTTGAGAATGTGTTCTGTTGTGGTCCATAGATAATAGTAATATACAGTTCATTGCTGGTTGTTGCTAAGTTCAGCTATGTCTTTACTAATTTTCTGCCTACCAAATCTGTCCATATCTTATCAGGATTGATATTTCTCAACCACATGACAGATTCATCTATTTCTTTTTAGTCTTGTTTTTGGCCTCATTTATTTTGACACTGTTACATAGCTTTGCAGAACTGACCCCATTATCATTATGTAAAGGTCCTCTTCATCCATAACTTTCCTGCTCTGAATTCTGGTTTGTCTGAAACTAACATAGCTACCCTACATCCTTTGTTGTTAGTGTGAGCTATCATTCTCTGTGCTTTTACTTCGGATCAGTTTAAGTCTTTATGTATGTGTGTGTATATATATGTATACATACACACACATACACAAAGATGAGTAGACAATATAGTTGGTTCTTGTTTTTGTTTTATCTTCTTACACAATCTTTTATTTGGTCTAAGACTATTGAAGTTTAAAGTGAATGCTGATACAGTGCAGTAACTATCTGCCACGTTTGTAACTGCTTTCTAATTGTCCCTTTTTCTTATTGTTGTCTTCCACTTTTTCTTCCTTTCATGCCCCTCCCCCACCTCCTAATTCAACTCTGTTACCATGGTTTTAATTGAGTGTTTTATGATTCCATTTTTTCCTCCGCATTTCAGTTCGTAGCCCTAGGATTTACAGTATGAATTCAAACTAATCTGAGTGCACTTTGGAAAGAAAACAGTCTAGAGCCAGTGAGCTGACTCAGTAAAAGCACTTGCCATGCAAGCCTAACAACCTGAGTTCAATCCCTAGAACCCACAGTGGGAGGAAAGAACTGACTCGCAAAAGTTGTTCTCTGACCGCCATGTGCATGCTATGGCATGCACACATCTGCCCTTATAGACATACATCATAGACACACACACAATAAAAAAATAAAAATTTAAATTTTAGAAGTCTGTCCTTTCACATCACAAGTGCACAGTAGATGCACTTATGATCATAATAGATGTCTCTAGTGTCTCCCTTTTGACCCTTCTCTCCTTGCTACCCTGCATTTCTCCATAGGCATATGTGAGCAGATACGTACTCAAAGTCACAGTTGCTGTTCTTTTAAACAACTGTTAAATAAACTAAGAATAAATCAATTAAGATTTCATTTTACTTTCTCCCACTCATTCTCTGATGGTCTTTCCTTATGTAGACACACATTTCTGACATATATTTTCCATCCGAAGAATTTCACGTTCTTTACAAGGGTACTGTAATGATTGTACTGATTAGACAAAATCAGCACACCTATACTTAAAGTGTATTCTGTACAATTAAAACTTAAAGCTAAAGGTTACTTGTCTGCTGTGCATAAGGGTCTAGGATCCAACCCCAGCACTACAAAGAAAAAGCCAGGGGAGGTGAATAGACATTGTACTAGCATAGCTTAGATAGTTAACAGCTAACTAGTCAAACTTTCAGTGTGTCCCCAACAAAAAACTGTTCATCTTTTTGGGGGATGAGGGGAGCAATACTGGGGATTGAACCTGGGGCCTCGTGCATATGGGGCCGGCATGCTACTACTGAGCTATGTCCTCAAAAGGACTGTTAAAGGAAACTTATAGGAGCCCACAGCAATCAGGGGGGAAGCAGTATGTTTGTTTTTTCCCAAAGTTCAAGTGAGATGGGATATTATGATGTGAGGCTCCTGGGTGTTGGCACATGGGACAGAAACACATGGTCAACCATATTCTTACTACTACAGGAAATGAGACTGATTCATAATTTTCATTACCATTTGCTCACAATTCCAAAGATATTTTCCATTGCTGTTTCATGCAGCTCTCTATTTTAAACTGAGACTCATTTGCTACTGAAATATATATTTTCTTCATGAAATGCAAATTATATGCTATAAATGAATTCAGCACCAGTAAGTTCAGTTTGCTACATCATAGAATGAAAATCTTTTTTTTTTTTTTTTTCGGTCTTTTTGAGACAGGGTCTCCCTATAGCCGCAGCTGGCCCTGAACTTGCTAACTAGACCATGCTGGCCTTGAACTCAGAGAGACCCACCTGCCTCTCCTTCCTGAGTGCTGGGATTAAAGACATGCACCACCACACCTGGCATATAGAAAGAAAATCTTGATTTGCTGCTGATCATATACTGTGGAAGTGTGACCATTGTATCTTATCTTTTAGGAACTGTGGAATTTATTATGGACTCAAAGCATAATTTTTACTTCATGGAGATGAATACAAGGCTGCAAGTAGAGCACCCTGTTACTGAGATGATCACAGGGACTGACTTGGTGGAGTGGCAGCTGAGGGTGAGAATTTTTTTTTCTAGTAAAGATCAGTCTTGAGGTAGGGACATGGCTCAGTGGTAGAGTGCTTGCCTAGCACGAGAGAGGTCCTGGTTCCAACCCCTAGTTCTGCTAAAATAGAAATAAGCTCAGTCTTGAATGTGGTAACTTCTGGCCTCCTTTTAGGCCACTTTGGGTATAATTCACTTTCATGATTGTGACAAGGACAGGAAAGCGAAGCTGCGTTTGATGCTGGGACACTGACATTGTGGGAACTCAGATCCCTCATCCTTGCTAACCTTCGGTTTCCCTTAGGCTTCAGGGAGGAGGCAGGAGAGCTGCATCTCTGAAGCTTGTCATGGTCACATGACAAACCTTTCGCTCTACCTAAGGCCACAGCATTCTAAGCCATGCTGTTGTTCGATTTTTACATGCAAGACAGATGCTAGCCAAGATGAAATGGCTAGGGCAGAGTTGGGAGTCAAAAGCTAAGGGAATGGTCTACAATAGAGGATCTCGTAAAGTGCTGATTTAGAGACTGGCAGCCCACAAGTTCATTCCCAGTCAGTGTTCAGAGCTGCCATGATGAATCTACTGTGTTTTATACAAAAATAGAGCCATAACTGTTTTTTTTTTCACTGTGGCTACTCTAAGCATTGGTGATCCAGAGTTCTACAAAGGGTCTTCTGTCAGGATTAATAACTTAGTCTGCTTTCATTGTCTTTATTGAAGACAACTGATTTTTACCTTATCTTTTTAAAAATGTGAAGCAAGTATTTAATATCAATATTCTTGATTCCTGTAAGAGTCTTGGTTCATTGTATTACTGAATCTGTTACTGGTTTCATGCTTTGATGCTGAAGTCATGATTATTTGGATAACTTTGTCCTTTCAAAACTTCTGTGGATACCAATGCAATGTTCCTTTGGTGGATGATTGGTGGTTCAAATTGAGCCCAAAGATTCTTAGGGGCTGCCGTGGCCTTGAAAGCTAATGAAAAACATACACAGCCTAGCTACTAAACACAGTGAGTGTCAGAGAAAACTCTGGCAAGTGTGCTTGTTTCCAGAATTCAGGAGGTTTTTTGTTTTGTTTTGTTTTTGTTTTTTTTTTTCATCTGAAACAGTCACCATGTGATCCCATGGGCCACATGCAGCTGAGAATGCTTATGAATGTGAGCCAACCCAAAACTATAAAGTTACTTAAAATCTTACAAGATTTATTTTTTGTTTTTGAAAATTAAGTGTTCTCACGCATGGACTTGGTAGATGACAGCCTCATGTTCCATTGTCAGAATGTTGGACACTCTTGGTAGACTTTGAAATCATGGAGGATAAAAGTTTCCTAAGCATTAAGGCATGAGAGGAAAGCCACAGACATATTTCCTGGAACTCAGGAAGTTCCAGTCACTTGTCAAGGCCCTTCAGAAAGGAAGCAAGCTTTCATCATCTCAGGATAGATTATAGAAGTTAAGGAATTGGACTTGTCATATGGTACTCAGGTTACTTTGGAGGCGTGCTTTAGATATGTGAAAAGCAAGGGACCTTGACAGTTGGATGAGTGAAGCATTTGAGCTCCAAAACCTGCTAGAATCAAAAGCTTCTTAGAAAGAAGACTCAGTGCTGCAAACAGCTGGGTTCAGGCTATGGTACAGATGGTCAGCAGTGTTCAGGGAAAACTAGTGAAATCATCAAGGCTTTTAGAGACTTAGTGTCTGCCCAAGAATGAAAATGGCATAGAATTCCTGAGGTGTGTGTGGTTGGGACCAGTCTCTCCAGGACTCAAACAGAAGCTGGTCTCGGAAAAATTAGCAAGCAAAGACAAGCAAATTTGAAAGGGTCTGTATAGTAAGAAATAAGATTATGTCTTAGAATATGGGGTACATGGTCAACTCTTCTTTTGTATATTAAAACAAATGTAACTTAAAATATCAAAAAGAATGTCGTCATGAAGCATAGGAAGGAACAGTACCAGCTAACACTTCCATGGTGCTTGCTAGATGCCAGGCTGTAAAGTGCAGAGCCTGAGAAACTGCCCAGGCCAGGGTGAATATAGACACAAACTGAATTCAGTCAGTATGGCTGCAGAGACTGTGGTTTGAAAAACCCTAAAGATACTGAATTTAGTTCTTTTTCCTTTGGTTTTTAACTACTGTGGTTCCCGAGCCTTCCAATTGCAGGTTAGAGGAATGGCTTTGCTTCTGTGTGTGCTTACCTGTTTAGTTCAGTTGCAGGTTGCTTACAGTCTTTTCTCCTGTATCTGTCGCTTTCTTTCTTCAGCTACTGTTTACTGATATTGGAGGAAAACCTGAAGGGAGGGAGAAAGTGGCCACATATCCTCTAATAGCTTCATACTGTTGAAGAACACAGTTCATTGGATTGGTACAGAAGACCCCAAATTGTATTTTAGTAGTGATGACAGTAACAGTTTACCCAGCTTGTAATCTTCAGCCACACAGAAACAAAATTGAAAAGCTATTGTGCTCCTCTTTCTGCCTTGCTTTGTCACTCACTGGCTGATGGAGGTGACGGTGTAGAATGATAGGCCACCCACAGCTTTTTTCCATGGCTGTGAATAGAGTCTTGAACACCAAGTGATAGTATTTTATAAAGATTGATTTGGGGACTAAGTATTAATGTAAAGACTAAGCATATCTTGCCAGTAATAAATTTAGGTTTTGATTGTACTAAACAAACACGGATTTTTGTATTTATAAATTAGACATTAGCCTTTCTCCATTTAAAAACTCTAGAGCCCATTATAATTGATAGATTATCTCCAAACTGTGTCAGTTTTTAAATCTAGAACTGTTTTGTCTAATACTCAAGGGGATGGATAGTCATTGTTATTAGAATGCATTGCAGAACCCAGTTGTCCATTTTCCATAGGGAAGAAAGGCCAGGCCATTGACTTAGTAAGCCACCGAGCAGCTCCAGAGTGGATTTTCCTAAGAAGCACTCTTCTGTCACCAGATTGCAGCAGGAGAAAAGATTCCTTTGAACCAGGAAGAAATACTTCTTCAGGGCCATGCCTTTGAAGCCAGAATATATGCGGAAGATCCTAACAATAACTTCATGCCAGGAGCTGGACCATTGGTGCATCTCTCTACCCCTTGGGCAGACCTGTCCACGAGGATTGAAACTGGAGTACGGCAAGGTGACATGGAATAAGACCAGAGCTCTCACTCTGGTTAAACTCTCACTTTCTTTTCCCTGATATGAGGCCTTACTGTGTTGCCAAATCTGGCCTCAAATTCTTGGGCTCAAGTGATTCTCCTGCCTTGGCCTCCCAAGTACCTAGAACTCTAGGAGCTCACCACATGCCCAGATTTTAGTGCATTATTGCTTTGAGGGGGTTTTGGTGTGTTTTGTTACTGTTGTTTTACATTTAGTCAGTCTCTCTCTCTCTCACATCTCTTGAGTGGAGGTGGATGTGTGCCCTGTTGTTCATGTAGACGTCAGAGCACAATGTACAGGAATAGGTTCTCTCCTGCCTTGTGGGTTCAGGGGATCAAAGAGGCAGTGAAGAGCAGAAGTGAGATTGGGTCTTTACCTTGACCTCCAAAGTAAGAAAGCAAAAGGAGATACGATGCAGAAAACCAACCCGTGTGACATGCTAGGGCCCAGTGCTCTCAGTGACTAAGCCTTGTTGGGTTTTGGACAACGTTTTGAATCCTCTGAGCTGTGGTTTCCTTGAAAATAACAGTGTACTGTTGGTAGCTGCCATGCAGGACTTGGTGAGGACTGAATGTGAGACGCACAGGCAGAATGTCCTTTTGTCCTGTTTCTTTCCTTTCAGTTTGACACTCACAGTGTTTCTCAATTCTAGGAGATGAAGTCTCAGTGCATTACGACCCCATGATTGCAAAGCTTGTCGTATGGGCTGCAGATCGCCAGGCAGCCTTGTCAAAACTGAGATACAGCCTTCATCAGTACAACGTGAGTGAGCTGAGGCCAGCGGCCTGATGTGCTTGCTCAGCACAGTCACACTTTATCCTCACGAGAGCCTTAGTGTTCTCAACTCATTTCTACCAGTTGCATGTATGTCACACACAAAACGGTACTTCATAGAGACCCCGTGAGTCAGAGTAGACTTTGAGGACTGTTATTTCAGTTGTGGGGGGAAAAAGCCTGTAGAAATAACTGTTAATGTCATTACTTATTTTAATGAAATCCTAGCCAGTCTATGAAATAGGCCACCTACAGGAGTATTGCCTATATCCTTAAGTTTTCTTCAAAAAATAAAATTAATCTTCAGTTTCATTCATTTGACAGTGTTTATTTTTCTATAGCACATTAATTTCTTTGGTGCAGACGCCTCATACCATGTTGATTTCACTCCCACAGAAGGATTTATTAATGCATGATTTAAAATTATTATGTGTTAATTTGGTCAAACATCCCATTTCTGTGGCTCTCAGCATTCTGGTCACATTCGCATTCTTCCAGTGTGGAGTCAGCTTCTGTTCTCCTTTGCAGAGCATCTGTCCCCCACACTATCTGCTGACTGTCCTAGGCACTGCTTATGTCCGCAGAGTCCTTTCCCAGCATCTCATTTAAAACAGGACCCTTTGCTATTCTCTGTCACCTTGCCATCGTTGGTGTTTTACTGTGTGCTTGCTTGTAAATAAGCATAACCTCTTGAAGGCAGGGACTACATCTGTTTGTTCCTGTTCCCAGAGCCTAGTACCTAAAAGTGCACAGTAAATGGCTATTAAATAAAGGAAGGAATGGGCGAATATGTGCATGAATGAGCCCAAAGCTCATAGCTACTTTTACCTCTGATCCTTTTGTGGGGGTAGATTTGGATTCCTTTTTTATTTTTATTTTAGTGTTTGAAGACAATTCCTTACAGGTTGTTGATTGCTGTCTTCCCCCATGTCACAGGCCTGCCTTCATTTGCAGTTGTCCTATTTTCTGGAATGTTCTAGTGTGTCTTAACGTTCATCACTTTCCTGACCTGAGCCAGTGAAATGTTGCCATGCTGTCTACTGTAGCACCATGTCCTCCATCCTCCTCCTGTTAAGCAGCATTGTGATGTGTGAGTCCAGATACACATGGTGGATATGGTGACAGTAGTGACCTTTTACCACAGGCTATCTTAGGTTTTTCATTTGTCCCATTAGTTGTCTACACTAGGAGATACTTAGAAAAGAGTGGATGCTTTTCTGAATATGTTGTTTTCCCTGTTTAGTGGGAACCATGGTTTTTATTCTCTTCCTAGATTGTCGGGCTGCGCACCAACATTGACTTCCTTCTCCGCCTGTCTGGCCACCCAGAGTTCGAAGCTGGGAATGTGCACACTGATTTCATCTCCCAGTATCACAAGGCCCTGCTGCCCGGTTGCAGTGCCATTGCCAAAGAGTCCATGTGCCAGGCAGCCCTAGGGCTTATCCTCAAGGAGAAGGCTGTGACTGATGCTTTCAGACTTCACGAGCAAGGTACAGAATGCTCCTCTCATCCCTTTACTTGGCATGCTTGCTGAATCAGCAGCAAACAGGCTTCTCTTTTTCTTTCCTTTTGTGCTTCCAGCCACTGGTGCTGTTCTCTGCAGATAATGTTTTTCAGTGTGAAAAGAGCTGTTTCTCTATCATGAGTGCACACATAAACCCTACTTACTGACCCATTAAATGTAGTTTATTTACTAGGGATAACCCTAAACTTTGGAGCAAACAGAATTTTTTTTAACCTCTTATCTTTTCTTATTATTAGGATTATTACAGTAGATTTTCTTGTCTTATAAGATCTTATTGTTAAAATCTTTGATTTTTAGATTCATTCAAGATGAATCATATTGAAAGCTTAAAATATATAACTGTGTCTTTAGATTTTTTTTTCCTCTATTCTCATTTTGTTTTTTTATGTTACATCTAAATACTCCCTGTGTGGCAGTCCTGAGCCTGAACTTGGCATTTTCAGAATGGAATACCCTCTCGTTGTCACTTCTCTTCTTTAAATTTATAAGTAGCACAGTTACAAGCTTCAGACTAAATGACTACAGTTTAGTTATGCCATACCCCCTGGATTACATTCAGTGGATTATGTACACCCAAGCATACGGGGTGGACCAGTAACATGAGTAGAAGAGACAAGAGTCCTGTGGAAGAAGAGTGAATGGTGGAGACTGGGGGCTGGGTGGGGTGTCGGTGCCACAGAGGACAAGCACTTAGTTACAAATACTCAATTCTTCCAGAAAAGCTAGCACTTCTCATATGAAAGTTTCTGATGTCAATGAAAGTGTCTGCCTTAACTTTAAAATAGTGAGAACATGCTGGGCGTGGTGGCGCACACCTTTAATCCCAGCACTCCAGAGGCAGAGGATCTCTGTGAGTTCAAGGCCAGCCTGGTCTACATAGTGAGTTCCAGGATAGCTGGGGTTACAGGGAGACCCTGTCTCAAAAAGACCAAAAAGTAAAGTATAACTTTATTGGACTTGAAATTTGTAAATTTGTTGTTGAATTTTTAATCTTTTCTAGATAAGTTCTCTCCATTTTCATTCAGCAGTGGAAGAAGACTGAATATCTGTTATACCAGAAATATGACTCTTAGAGATGGTAAAAATGGTAAGTAATGTTTTATTAAAAGAGAATTGTAGGGCTGGGTGTGGTGGCGCACGCCTTTAGTCCCAGTACTTGGGAGGCAGAGGCAGGCAGATCTCTGTGAGTTCAAAGCCAGCCTGGTCTACATAGTGAGTTCCAGGCCAGCTGGAGCTACAGGGAGACCCTGTCTCAAAAAGACCAAAAAATAAAAAATAAAAATAAAAAAGAGAGAGAGAGAATTGTAAAGCATAGAAACATACCATATTAAACTGAGAATTTCATCGTGGTCATGCTTAGTCAGTTGCATGCTCTTAAATGCCTAAACATTGGAAAGAAATATGTCAAAACTAGAATTATTGGCTCAGGGTCATAGAGTTAATGATGCATGTTTTTCTTCACACTTTTTTAATGCTTTGTAACTTTATGAATGTATGCCTTCAAATATACTTAGCAAACAACTGAAATAAAATGTGACAAAATATTGGTGAGGTGACCATGGTAGGATTGAGGCCAGCTCTTTTTCCTTAGTTCAGGCCGTGTTTTGATGTGGTCCAGGTGGAGGTGGGTCACTACAGAGCTGTCATTTAGTGTATGTCACATGTAAGTTTTATCTTCACACCTACTTAATGAGGGGATCGCCGCTCACTGTGGATGATGGAAGGTGGGTGTTGCTGAAGCCTCACTGGGGCAGTTACGGATGCTGCTGATACTGGCTCCATGCTATTTCTAACACTTTTCAGTGTAATGTTTATTTTTTATTGCATATTAGTTTGAAGAAGTTCAGGGCAGAGTCTGGCTTTTTGTAGCTAAAGTTAGAAGAGGCTGGCACCTAGAAGCCAGGTCATTTATAAAGTACAGCCAGGCATCCTGTGATAGCTGGTGACTCTCCTTTCTGCTGTCTGCCTGGGAAGCCAGAGTGGGTGAGGTGTGCTGGGCACTAGAACGTGAGGTATTCTTAAACTCTGACAATCTGTTATAAAAATCATATACCTTTAATCCCAGCACTTGGGAGGCAGAGGCAGGCGGATCGTTGTGAGTTCAAGGCCAGCCTGGTCTACATAGTGAGTTCAGGTCAGCTGGGACTACAGGGAGACCCTGTCTCAAAAAGAAATAAATAAATAAATAAATAAATAAATAAATAAATAAATAAAATAAAAATCATATACTTGGGCTGGAGAGTTGGCTCAGCAGTTAAGAGCTCTGGCTGTTCTTTCAGAAGACCCCGGTTCAAATCCCAGCAACTGTCCATAACTTCAGTTCCAGGGGAATCTGATGCCCTCTTCTGTCCTCCGTAGGCATTGCACACATGGGTGAACTTAGACACAATATACTTACCAGGCAGAACAGCGTTTTCCTGCCAGCAGATCAGTGCACCCTCTTCTCTCAACAGAACAGGATCTTCTTTACCTCAGCACTCTAGACATCATCACTGGGGAGCAAAATCTTCCTTCACAGAGTCATTGCATTATGGCTCTCACCCAAGCATAGATGACCATTGCTGAAGTACAAAGAAACTTTGAATGAAACATCTTCATTCTGTAATACTCCATAAATGGTTAACCCCTCCATCTTGTGCTGGTTTTTACTCATCTCACCCTACAAAGTAGCCTCCAAAATCTAGAAGTGTCTTATTGGAGACTTCTGCATGCTGAAGGCATGTATCAGAAGCAGGAAAGTTGCAGTGGCCTTTGCAACCTAAATTAAACAGACAAATCACATATGTAAGTGTAATTCAGATGATCCAACTCTGCTATTTGGCATGAATCTTCAGTAAAGCACTGAGTTGTGTTTTGAATTATGCAAAAAGTTTCAATTTAAAAATAAGTACATTGACTGATTACTGGTCACTATATACCTTTTTTTTTTTTAAATTGAGACAAGATCTCCTTGTAGCCCCAGCTGGCCTGGAACTCACTGTGTAGACCAGGGTGGCCTCAGTCTCATGGAGATCTGCCTGCCTCTGCTTCCCAAGTGCTGGAATTAAAGGTATGAGCCACCACACCCAGCTCACTATATACTTTTTACAGTATTCTACAAAAATAATCTAATTCTGAATGTAACAGCTTCTGGAAATGTTATAGTAAGTCTCTGAAAAATGCTAATGAGCAGTGACCTCAAAATATTCCAGACTGGAAGCCTGGAGGCACTTACGAGTCTAAAGCAGAACCAGTTCTTAATGAGAATGACCACGTGTTTTAGAGCTGTATTTAAGACTTGAATTTTGTTGTTACTATTGGCCATGTTTCACAGAACTCTGTGTGACTGTCAATAATAATGGCTCGGGTTTACTGAATATTTTCAGATACTGTGTTAAACATTTTCCATAGTCTTTCATTTGCATTTTCAGAACAGGTCAATGGGATCCATGTAACTATTAACACCACCTTTATTATTAGTAACTAATCTTTCTTAACCAATGCCAAATTTCAGAGATCAGAATTTTCCAAAAGTAATTGAAGTCAGGTTTTAAACCCACTTCCTGAAGAATGTGTGCTTATATATATACTCTGCTAAATTTCTGTGTCTTATTAAATGTGTAACAGAATATTTAAGATTCTCTGGTGGGCAACAAGAATATCTAGGAGAGAAAATAACAAGTTCACTTGATATCTTAATAATTTTACTGCAATCCTACCAGTATTGGTGTCAGTTAAACACTTTTCATGTTTGGCAGATTGAAAGAAAACTGATCTGGTATAATTGGAGGCATTTTCTCCTAAAAAAATTTAAAGGGGGCCGGGCTTGGTGGCACACGCCTTTAGTCCCAGCACTTGGGAGGCAGAGGCAGGCGGATCTCTGTGAGTTTGAGGCCAGCCTGGTCTACATAGTGAGTTCCATGACAGCTGGGGCTACTGGGAGACCCTGTTTCAAAAACACAAAAAAAAAATTTAAAGCACATTGACAATATATAGGATGAAGAGTTTTCACACACTCAATATAAGGCTTTTGAAAGCAGCTTTGCTGAGAGATGTGGAGAAGAGTAAAAAATTTTTCATCCCTGCCTTTTGTCTGAAGGACTCTGCCAATTGGAATTATATGTAGTGGAAGGTGGCAGTGTAGTTGGTGGCGGTATAAGCGATAGGCTATAGTAGTTATGGTATAAGCTGTAGGGTGTAGTAGTTATGGTGTAAGCTGTAGGCTGTAGTAGTTGGTGGTATAAGCTGTAGGCTGTAGTAGTTATGGTGTAAGCTGTAGGGTTTGTCAACTTTAGTATTTGACTTTGTAAACACTTTCAGCTTTGTAGTTTTTTAAAAACAAGTGACAAATAAAAAATTTTATTTAAATCAGCATGAGGGGAGAATCATAATAGTTTTAATAGTAAAAGTCTAAATGGTCAAGACTGAGTTCAAAAGACCTGGCAGACACTTCCCAAAGGACTGTGAATCTGGTATGAACAAGACGTGGCGTCCCGTTTTGGGGACAGCAGTGAGGAAAAGGAATAGCCATGAGCAGAGGCACACGCGACACCAGCTGGCCGGCTTTTCCCTTGGAACTGGGCCCTGTGTGTAGAGAAAGGCAGGAAATAGAACTGAGAGGCTGGGCCATTGTTGCCGGGACAGCGATTCAGTGTGGAGCTAGAATGGCAGAGGTGGGAAGCAGGGAGGTCCCTAGGATGTCTTCAGAGCCTGTCAGCCTGGGTCAGTTAGGGTTAGGAAGGAAGAGGCTCAGAGGACAGGTTCTCCAAGGGAACAACTTGGCAACCAGCTGCTGACCCCTGGATGAGGAAGGCAAAGTGTGAGGCAAGGGTGAAAGGGTTTAAACTGGATAACGAAACAGCCACGCCTCTCTGGAGCTGTTGGGGCAGGAGGGGACAGTGATCTGTTGGGCCCAGCATGTTCATTTCAATGTGCCAGTAGCTCTCAGCAGGTCATGACTAATCAGGCTCTAGAGAAGATCAAGGCTGGAAGCAAATTCAAGCTGGTGGCATCAAAATGATGGCTGGAGGATCAGGAGTTCATGAAATGCCATTGACCTACATAACTGCCCACAAAACATGGCTTGTTACTGGGGATTGGACCCCAGCCCTTGTAGATGCTACACTCGAACACCTACACAAAACTTCTGATTTCCAACTTGGAAAATAATCTTCAACCAATTCCATATTAATGCATAGCATGCACAATTTCTCCGTCTTCTGATATGTTATATTTTTAAAGCACTTTCATGTTTATTTAGCTATTATCATGGCCTCTGTCCCCATACCCATTTAATGACTCAAAACTGAAAGCATTAAAGTGACCTAGTCCCAACTACAGAGGCCGTCAGATGGTGGGTTTGAACGTTGAACCAGAACTTCTCTTTACTAGTTAGTTGCATTTTCTGTGCTAACACTGTAGCCTTTTTATTGAGGTAGAAGTATATGAAATATTAAAACTCAATTTCAAAAGGGAAAGGTTTGAAAAATCTGCCTTCACTGACCGCTGGCAGGTACTTTTCTAAGAAAAAAAAAAATTGTATCCCTAGGGAGTTAAAAGATGTTGCTTTCTCTTTGAAGAGCTGGCTAGCTTAGAGTTGAAAGGGAGAATTTTGTTATCTCCGATATGAAATAATTTAATGTTTTCTATTTTCTCTTCCATTTCCCCCGATTCCATAAAGACGTAGCCATAGCCGTGACATATAACCACGATGGGTCATACGACATGCAGGTAAGCTTCGTTGGTTCTGGTCTTTGACTATGGTAACTGTACTGAGGAGAATATCATGTGCTTTTATTTCAGAGCAGTTTGGGGAAACTATCCTCTGTATTGTTTCTAACTTGTTTACCCAGTTTAGCTGATTCCTTCGCTAATAAGGACTTGGCCTTTCAAAAGAAGACCCTTGAATCAACCTCTAGCAGGCTCCTCGGGTGTGCGCATACTCATCAAAGCAGCGGTTCTCGGATTTTCAGGCTTAAGAATCCTGTAAACTCTAAAAATTATTGAGAAGCCAGCCGTACAAAGAACTGCTGATAGTTACCATTTAGAAAACATAACAGGAAGTTTGGTGCGCAGCTCAGTAGCACAAGAACGCTCACAGTATCACTGCCATTCCTCAGTGGCTTTTTTTTTTTTTTTTTAGCTTTACTACCTACACTTTCTCTGTTTTTTGACAATTTCCTACATAAATACAGTTTATTGTGAGGACCTTCACATACACACCCATTACCCTCTCTTATCTCACTCCCTCTCTCTCTGAATCAATCCTTTTTCCCCCACAATTCCCTTCCTCTTTTCGTGATTTTTTTTTCTTTGTTTAATCCAAAGTTTAGTTAAGGTTGCTTTGCATAAACATGGATAAGGAACCATTTGCCGGTGCATAAGCAATTCACCAGTGGTTATACCACTGAAGAAAATGATACACCCTCCTCTAGCGACCATTAACTGCCAATAACTCCTTTGGAAGGTGGGGCCTCACAGTCCCACATCCATAGGCAGTGTTGAAAAGCCCATTCTTGTGCAGAGCTTGTGCTTGTCCTGCAGACACCCGTGTGTGGCCGACAATGTCTCATGACACTGCTTCTCATCCTCTGGCCTGTGCATTCTTCCTGCCTCCTCTTCCACAATGTTCCCTGGGCCTTGGACGGAGTGATAGAGATGTCCTGTTTGTGGCTGAGCACTCAACAGTGTTATTTTCAGCACACTGACCAGCTACAAGTCCCTGCATTAACCATCACCCATTGCAAAAAGGACCATCTCTCCCCAAGGTTCAGAGCAGCACTTAATTTATGGGCAAAAACATAAAAACTTAGAAGGCAGGCAGTTTGAAGGTATAAGTTTTGTTGTTTTTTTTGTCTTTTGAAGCTATAATGTTGTACCTGTTAAACAGGTATGTTCTCCTTTCCCTCGGTTCCTAAGAACCACTGTTCTATTTCCTCTCTGTGAGTTGGATACTCAAGGTACCTGATATAAGTGGTGCTGGTGCCAGCCGGCCAAGACGGACAGTACCTGAAAGGGGGAGTGAGGATTGAAAGAAAGAACAAGAGACAGAAAAGATACTTGGGAGGGCTGTATGTAGAGACTGCAGCCACGGTTTATTTCAGCTCCACCTTTTTACAGAAGAACTCAGTTAGTTTCAACAGCTGTTTTTCCCACCTGTATCTGAGGGTCAAGGAGCGGTCAAATACTTGTTTTGTGAGCTCCACCATATAAACACATTCCTCCTGATTTGGCAGATTAGGTACTGGTGTGCAAAACCACAAACTCAGTAAACAAGCCTGACACAGCTTATGTACATAATGGATTAATAGCTCCCGACAAAGTGGGACAGTTTAATATTTGTCCTTTTATGACCGGCGTATTTCACTTAACATAATGTTAAGTATCAGAATTTCCATTTTAGGGCAGATGATATTTCATATACCACATTTTCCTTATCCATTCATCTGTCAGTGAACACTTGGATTATTTCCAACTTTCAGCTATTAATAAGAACACTGCTAGCAACATGGGTGTACAGATATCTTTTCAAAACCCTGTTTCAATTTTTTGCGCGTGTATCCAAAAGTGGAATGGCTATATCATGGAGTAATTCTGGTCTTACTTTGTGATAAACTATTACACTGTTTTCTGTAGACGTTGCAGCATTTTGCATTCCCACGACCATTGCACAGGAGTTCCAGTTTCTCTACATCCTGGCCAGACTGCTTGTTCTTTTCTTTCTCTTTGGTTGTTTTTTAATAATAATCATCCTAATGATGGGGTAAGGTGTTAAGACTTTGATTTGTAAATGACTTAAAGATGTTGAGCATTTTTGTTGTATTTACTTGCCATTGGTGTATCTTCTTGGGAGAAATTCCTCTTCATGTTCCTGTCCTATCTGTATTTTAATCCCAGTTTTGTTGTTTCTGTTAAGCTGTAGGTAGAATGGAGAAAGCAGAAAAATCATACAAATACACATTATATTAGCTATCAGAAGTGGAGCATTCATACATGTCCAGTAGCTTCTGGAGAATGCTACTCCATACTCATGAGAGAATGAATGTTTTAAAAGGCAGATAATATCTTGGTCCTATAATTTGACTTTATAGACCCTCCACGTGGCTGTTGAAAAACCCAAGGAATTTAAGCAATACTCTACGAACCTCCAGGGTAAAGTTTCTGACAGCCCTACATTACAAGTCTGCTGGCAAAATGAAGTGCTAAAACAGTTGGGTTTTTATTTTTTAATATTTTATTTATTGTTTTTATTTTATATGTATGAGTGTTATACGTGCATGTAAGTAAATGCACCCATGTTGTGAAATGCCCATGGAGGACAGAAGAGGCTGTCGGATCCCCTGGAACTGGAGTTATGGACAATTGTTAGCTATCATGTGGGTGCTGGGATTCAAACCAGGGTCTTCTGCAAGAACAGTCAGTGTTCTTAACTCTTGAGCCATCTCTCCAGCCCAACAGTTGGGTTTCTAAATAATTTTTGTATGTATAGCAGGGGCATGTGTTACAGTCTGTGTGGAGGTTAGAGGACAGCTTCCAGGAGTGGGTTCTCTGCTTCCTCCATGTGAGCCCCAAAGATAAAACGCAGGTCCTTGGGTTTGTGGTAGGCACCTTTACCCTCTAGGCCCTCTTGCCTTACATTTTTAAAATGTAGGCACTCGGGTACAAGTTGAGGGAAGAGACTATCATTTTTAATATGAGCTAAAAGATTTCAAATTCTACAGAATGGATTTATCACAGTGTGTGTTAGATTTCCCAACACTTTGAGATTTGGTTGTTCTCTTTCTCCAGGTTTCAGAGCCCTGAAGCCCTGGGAAGTCTTCTTACCTGTAGTACATGAGAGCCATCTTCATAGTGATGCCCCTGGTTTGGGGACTTTTTCTTATTCGTTGGTGACTGGTAAATTGCCAACTTGTGCCCGTTGATTCATAGAACTAAGTGTGCTTTTGTGAATCTTTAGACTAAATTTTTCCATTCTGTTATACCCTGAGGATTTTACAGATTATTCAAATAGCTGTTTTTAGTAGATTACAAGGTAGAATAAAATGTCATATTTAATTTAAGCTAGTTGAGAACCAATGTACAAATAATGCCATGTGACCTACTTCACTTTAGCCTACACAGTATACCTGAAGAGTCGACATGGACTTCTAGACTAATGTGGTGGGAATTGAATCAAAAAACATAGAGACCTGGATGGATTTTCTAAGTGTGAGGGAAATCTCTTGGGTATAAATGCCAGAAAACACTCTTTAAAACAAAAAGGGTTTGTGTTAGTTTGCCGGCTCCTTTGAGACATGAGGTAAGAAATCTGTCCTTTGGCACAGCCTCTTAGAACAAGAAAATTGTGGTCAGTCTGCAGCTCATGTATCTTTTTTTTTTTTAATGTTTTGTTATTTTTATTTTATGTGTATGCGTGTATTGCCTGCATGTAGGTAAGTGCACCTGTGTCGTGCAATGCCCGAGGAGGACAGAAGAGGCTATTGGATTCCCTGGAACTGGAGTTATAGACAGTTGTTGCTGCCATGTGGGTGCTGGGATTCAAACCCGGGTCTTCTGCAAGAACCAGTGTTCTTAACCGTTGAGCCATCTTTCCAGCCCCCATATCTTCTTAAATTGTAACCAAAGCCCATGAGTTGGATCTTCATGTCGATAAGAAATACCCTCTAGTTCTAGTTTTTTTCTTTACTGACTTTGACACAGGAAATCTTCATTTAACTTAGGTACTCTTAATAACTGAGCCATCTCTCTAGCCCCTTGATTTTTCCTTTTTCTTTTTGTCTTATTGAGATAGGGTCTCTCTGTAACCCTAGCTGGTTTGGAACTCACAGAGATCCTACTGTCTCTGCCTCCAGAATGCTGGGATTAAAAGCAGGCATGCGCCACCACACCCGGCTTGATTTGGGTTTTTTTTTTTGTTTTTTTTTTTTTTTGGTCTTTTTGAGACAGGGTCTCCCTGTAGCCCCAGCTGTCCTGGAACTCACTATGTAGACCAGGCTGGCCTTGAACTCACAGAGATCCACCTGTCTCTGCCTCCCGAGTGCTGGGATTAAAGGCGTGCACCATCATGCCCGGCTTGATTTGTATTTTTATTTAACTATTTTATTACTATCCTTTCCATCCTTAAATGCACGTTTATCTTTGGCATTATGCTGATAGGGTAGCTTATATCATTTTTTAAATTTAATTATCTTACTGCTATTTGTATCTAAATTATTTTGATTAGGAATCTTTTTAAAATACTTTGTTATTTTTATTTTATGTGTATGAATGTATTGCCTGCATGTGCATAAGTGCACCCGTGTTGTGCAATACCCAAGGAGGTCAGAGGACGGGGTCCAATCCCCTGGAATTGGAGTTACAGTTGTTGCCTGACATGTGGGTGTTGGGAATTGAACTCGGGCTCTCTGCAGGAGCAGCCAGTACTCCTAACTGCTGAGCCATCTCTCCAGCCCCTGGAGTCTGTTTTGTTTATGTGTGTGTGTGTGTGTGTGTGTGTGTGTGTGTGTGTGTGTATGCCTCCATGAGTATATGTTTATCACATGTATGCAGGAGCCCAGGACAGATAGAAGATGGTGTTGGATCTCCTGGAACTAAAACTACAGGCAGTTGTGAGCTGCCATGTGAATTCTGGGAACTGAACCTGGGTCCTATGTAAGAGCATTAGTGCTTTTAGCCATCTCTCTAACTCTTGGTTAAGAATCTTGGCCGGGAGATTCTTACATGATTTCTTAAAAATATATTTTATGTTAACTTTGAAACTGCTAATGATATCAACATTCGTATTTATTCTATGTGGTTGTTTATTTTAAAGACTTTTATGTTTTTCAGATTGGAGACAAGACCTTTCGAGTCCTTGGTGATCTTTCCAGTGAGGGAGGCTGTACTTACCTGAAGTCTTCTGTCAATGGAGTATCCAGTAAAGTCAAGCTGGTTATCCTCAACAACACCATCTACCTGTTTTCCATGGTGATGTCTCAGGCTCTCACTCTTTGTTTTGGTTTGGTTTGGTTTGGTTTTGATGAGGTCTTTATCTGTAGCCCAAGCTGTTCTAGAATTCATGGCAATCTTCCTGCCTTGGCCTCCTGAGTGCTAGGTTTATAGGTGTAGGCTACCATGTCTGGCTCTGATATCCATCTTGAAATTTGAGAAGGAATTGCTTGACTGCAGCATTATTATGCCAACGTCATACTCACCTGAACAGACTGACTCTTAAGTTTTTAAGAGCTGGCCCGAACTTGGAAGATACTGGTGCCCCTAGCTATCTGTTAAAACCCTCTGTCTCTGAGAACTGTGCTGATGGATCTCTCTTGTCCCCTCAACTTGTATAGATGAAGCTGTCTTTATCTGCACCCCATGCCAATGGAACTGACTCTGAAACCCTGTTTCTCCCACTGATATGTGTCCCATCCTGTGCGCTGCCCCCTGCAAAACAAATCAGGCCACACCACTTACTCAAAATGGTTTCTGCAGCTTCACTGCAGAAATACAAATTCAAGTTGAGCTCCATCTTTACTCCTCACAGACCATCTGGTCTTTTCATCCCTAGTTCACTTTCATCTAAAGTCACCATCCTTCCCAGCCTCCACTGTGTCCAGTGGGTAGGTGCACTGCTTTGCATCACTTTGATATGTTAATTCTCAGGCATACTCACATTCATCCATTTCTTTTTGTCTTTTTGTTACAGTCTCTTTGTAGCCCCAGCCAGCCTGGAACTCGCCATGTAAACTAGACTGGCCTCCATCAATATGCCTGCCTCTGCCTCCCTGATACTGGGAGTAACCTGGATCATTCATTATCCTTACGGGTGAAGTAGCAAACTGAGGTTGCCAAGGAGATGCTCCCTCTTCAGACCCAAGAGCCTGCGCCTGGTTTTTTGGGGGGTTCATTAAAAGTTATTAGTCCAGATCATGTCCATTAATAAAGGTCAGACCTACACTTGACCGGAGGCATTTCACCGAAAGAGAAATGAGAGGGGCCCACTCCCTTCCACCACTAGGAACATGTTTCTTTCCGTATTTCTTTGTCACAGTCCTACCTTCTCTAGTCTCTGTTTACATGTTTTGTACCCACAGATTCTCATTATTAGATACAACCATTTTCTTTGGATTTGGAATTGAAGCTTACACTCTCCTGGTTAGAGTCCGTCCTCTCAGTGCTGGCATTCTCTCAGGATCCTAATATCTGCCCACTTTCCCCAGACTCATTCCCCTGACATTCAGAATCCTGGGGATTGGGGAGGTGGTGACCACTGGGAAAGGAGTCTGGGAACCCGATGCTCCTGAGGGAGGGAGGGGGCAGTAGAGAGGTAAATGAGATGAATGGTGATGACTTGGCAGTCGGAGACGAGCCAAGTCACACTTGGCCTTGCTCTGGTTCAGAGCCCAGTAACCAAAGAGTCCTCAGCCTCCAGCCTGGGCCAAGGAAGAGCGGACTGTTCATCAGATATGCTGTAGCCTGTAGAGTCTTCACACATGGGGAAGCTGTCTTTATAATAAGGTGGCTTTAGTATGCTAGTAATTAAACTGTGCATAAAGTCAGGATGATCCAACTTTCCCAGGTGCTCCTTTCAGTAGCCAGCAATACTGTAACAGTGCCATGCTAGAGGCAGGACATGGGGTGATAAACAGCTCTGGAAGGTGAAGCTTCCCTGGCTTACATCCTGACCCTGCCACTTAGTGTCTGTGTGACTTCATACAGTTATACTTTCTGGGCTTCGGTTCTGCCACCCAGAAAACAGAAATAGAAAGCATACCTACTTTATAGAATTGTTACAACTTAATGGACTTAAATGTATGTAAGTGTAAAGTTCCTGGCATAGATTTAAGCACTCCATAGTAGAGATGCTACTAAAAATCACTTCCAGATAGAGACCACCATGTCACTTACAATCCTGTCCCTTAATTCTTAATTGCTGGTGAGGCATCCATAGACTACCCTTGTATTGTGGGAGACTAGACTGCAAGAGGTGTTTTTAACCATTAAGCTGTATTAGAACCCTGTCAGTGATGACTAATAGTTAATAGCTTAAAAATTATCAGTAGCTCAGGTATATAAGTGAATATAAAATGATGAGATCTTGATTCCATTTTCTCTGTTTTTGTTCAGGATGGCAGTGTTGAAGTTAACATTCCAGTACCCAGGTACTTGTCTCCAGTAAGATCAGGAGCTCAGGGCGGCATGATCGCACCTATGACTGGAACCATTGAAAAGGTAATCACGAGACAGCTATAGATGGACGCCAGGAAGGACTACAGCAAACGTCTCTGTGGAGCTTTGTCATGTGTCTTTTTCCCTTTCTAAGTTTTGCTCCATGGAAAGCATTTGCCTCAAGAAAGCAGGATCTTTTACAGATTGAAGTTAGTATTTCAATCTTCAGTGTAAATGTCTATGTACCTAATTTATGATAATGATCACTGGGTTATTTTGGTTTGGTTTGGTTTTGGGGTTTTGTTTTGTGTGTGCCTGGGGCAGGGGGTTGGGGGGGTGGGATGTGCCTGAGTTCAAACTTGAAGGAAAGGAGGGAGGGAGGGAAGGAGGGAAGCAGACAGTAAGTCTGCTGTTTCCCAAGCAGTCTTCCGTTCCTAGGCTGAAGGAAGTGATCCTCCTGTTTGACCCTCCAAGGTCCATGTTACCATACCTAATTCAAACTGTATTTTGTGGATTAAAATAGTGTTCACCAAACATTATCTAAAAAGGCATTTTTTAATGTTAAATTTAACAATGTTGTCATTAAATAATGGCATAATTGTATCTGTGTTAAATTTGAAAGGCTAGTATTGGGGGGACATTGTTGTTTGAGGGGAGGAAGGCTGGAGGAAAAGCTGTTTGTTTTTGAGACAGGGTTTCACTATGTAGCCCAGGCTAACCTTGGGTTTATAGCAATCCCCTTGCCCCTGTCCTCCAAGTGCTGAGATTATAAGCATACACCACCATGCCTGGCAAAACACATGGTTTGATATGGACTACAGGATATATTCAGTTGATGTTTGTTACTGTCTTAGTCCATGTGGGCTACTAGAACAGAATTCCATAGACTGAGAGCTTGTAAACCATAGAAATTGGTTTTTCATAGTTCTGGAGGCTAGAAAACTCCAGAACAAAGCACCAGCAGATTTTGCACCTGGTAAGAAAAGAGTCTGCTCCCTGTATCACGACTGAGCACACTGTCTTCTCCCAGTGTTCTCTCAAGGCAGAAGGGGCACAGGACCTCTCTTGGGCCTTCTCTATTACAGTACAGATCCCTGGTGACTAAATCACCTCTATCTCCAGATACTGTCACCTTCAGAAGTAATTATTTTAACATTAATTTCAGCAGGACAGAGACATTCAGATAGTAGCACAGCTGATCTAACTTCCCTGGCACTACGTTGCTGATCTCCTTTTATATAAAGTACAAGAGAATCTTCCTAATACATTGTCATAGTACATTAAGTGGGCTAGAGGTGTGGCTTGATGATAACTTAACATAGATGAGGTCCTGAGTTTAATCATTGGCACTGCAAAATAAAAAGTAAAAATCAGCTGTATATTCTTGGAACCCATTTTTAAAAAGAAGAAAATAACTATTTAATCACACACTGTTCTCTTTGTGAGCTGATATACCAGATCTGCCTTTAGCTTGGTCAGTCTGTTCGTACCAGCCTCTCACAACTAGGGTGCCTGCATAGTGCATAATTCTTAAGTCTAAAGATAGGCATTTCCCATAACTGCCCCTAACTATGCATTGGCTTCTTGAGGCTTTACTAAAGCGTTACCAAAGGTTGGGTGACCCCTATAGCTCTCAAGGATGCTTCTTGCTTTTCACAGTTCTGACTCCACACAATGACTGAGACTCTACTGGTGATAGTCTCAGAAATGCTTTGGTAATTGTGTTAATCAAGTGACTCTTGTACTATATCAGCTCATTTATACTTGTAAAAACAAACATGAAAATATTTTGGAGTTGCTAATTGTTTAGTTCTCACAAGAGTTGTTTACACACTTACTACATAAGCCCTGCCGACTTGAAACTCTATCCTAGGCAACTCAAACTAGAAAATCAGTCCTTCCCTGTTGGAGATGTGTCCTGATTATACATTCATGAAAATTAAACCAGAAAGGTATCAAGGTATGTGAAATATGCTCATCTGATTCAAGCACAGCTAGGTGATTGGAGTAGGGGACTAAGCATCCCAGCCATAAACACACAGCAGTGCAGCACTGGATGATCTAGCAGTCTCCAGTTTCCCTGGTACTGCTGTCTTTGGTAAATGACACAGCCACACAGGCATGTGTGAAGGACCTGTATTTTAACACACTACTCAATCTCTAGGTGTTTGTGAAGGCTGGAGACAAAGTGAAGGCCGGAGACTCTCTGATGGTTATGATTGCCATGAAGATGGAGGTACGTGAAAGCACAAGTTCAGTTGCCACGTTGCCTTGGGAAGAGTCAGGCCTAGTTATTCTTCACTTTATTTCATGGGTTAATACTATTTTCAATATTACAGGCCATGAACTGGCCAAGCATTAATTGAAAGAAGCTGAAACAAACTGTGCTTTTGGTAAATACATTTTAATTTTGTGAAATCATACCTGTTATTCTGAAATTAATGAAAATATCAGAAATATCTCAATCAAATGCTAACTGTTGCTATTTTGTAAGGCTGAACTTAGGATGACAGACATTACATTGTAGGCCAGTACCCGGACAAGTTGAATTCAGATCTTCGTAAGTAAGGCCCACAGATCAATACTTTTGTTGCTATGAAATGCTGGGATTGAACCTGGGGCCTTGTGTAGACTAGGAAGGCACTCTCCCACTGAGCTGCACCCTTAGTCCCAGCACTTCTTAAAAGCTTCCCAGATGAGAGTCTGTTGTGAAACCAAGCTAAGTCTTTTCATTACACCAGAGCTTCCCAATTGTGCCCTCGAATGGGTTACCACTTAGTCTAAGTAGTGATTCCTCTCAATTATAAAAGTATTACCACTTTCTCTTTGGACTTTGGAGATGTGTATAAACAAACAAACAAGCTGTATAAATAAATAAGGTACCGGGAAACTACAGAGCATCCAAAGTCTTGGCTGTATCCCTCCCTTTGGTCTGGCTCATGTGTGCCTGGCCCTCACTGACACCACCACCAATCTTGTGTCTCCTGTCCCTGCAGCATACCATAAAAGCTCCAAAAGATGGCACAGTAAAAAAGGTGTTCTTCAAAGAAGGGTCCCAGGCCAACAGACACGCGGCGTTAGTGGAATTTGAGAAGGAAGAATCTGAGAAATTAGGATCCGAATGAACTGTCCATCAAAGAGGTGGCCACGTGCACAGTATCTTGGATGAGTAGAGCAGGCACCTCCGCATCTCTAAGGGATCTCACTCACACAGAGGAATTTCATTAAGTAAACGATGGTGTGGTTGACCACGTGCACAGTATCTTGGATGAGTAGAGCAGGCACCTCCGCATCTCTAAGGGATCTCACTCACACAGAGGAATTTCATTAAGTAAACGATGGTGTGGTTGACCACGTGCACAGTATCTTGGATGAGTAGAGCAGGCACCTCCGCATCTCTAAGGGATCTCACTCACACAGAGGAATTTCATTAAGTAAACGATGGTGTGGTTGACCACGTGCACAGTATCTTGGATGAGTAGAGCAGGCACCTCCGCATCTCTAAGGGATCTCACTCACACAGAGGAATTTCATTAAGTAAACGATGGTGTGGTTGACCACGTGCACAGTATCTTGGATGAGTAGAGCAGGCACCTCCGCATCTCTAAGGGATCTCACTCACACAGAGGAATTTCATTAAGTAAACGATGGTGTGGTTGACCACGTGCACAGTATCTTGGATGAGTAGAGCAGGCACCTCCGCATCTCTAAGGGATCTCACTCACACAGAGGAATTTCATTAAGTAAACGATGGTGTGGTTGACCACGTGCACAGTATCTTGGATGAGTAGAGCAGGCACCTCCGCATCTCTAAGGGATCTCACACAGAGGACTTTTATTAAATAAATGATGATGTGATTGTGCCTAAAACCTTTTAGTATTTACAAATCATGACCTTGGGTCACAAGGTCATTATCTTTTCACACTAATAAAATTGAATTGTACTTTTTATTTGGAAGCTTATGTTTGTTTCTGTCTCAAATTTTATACATTATATTCCTTTAGAAAGGGATGGAGTAGGCAACTTGATCAAGAGTGGTTTAATAGAAATGGTCATGTGAAGGAATTATTTTTCAGTTAGAATCATGATGAAAATAGTAACATATTTCAGAGGCAGATGTAAAAAAGCCAAACTCAACCAAGAGTAACTTAATTAGGTAGCTTAAAGAGTAGATGTTGCTTGTTTATAGTTTTTGTGTTTAGAAAGTTTGTCTCTAGATACCTCTGCCTTTATGGCACTGTACTTGCTAAGTGTGAATTTAAAAAGTGTATCATCCTAGAACATCATTTATTAATCCTTAATGTGGATATGTTTGAAAAACATAATTTTAAACAAAGAATGGATAAGAGCCAGGGAGATGGCTCAGCAGTTACAGCACCAGCACACAGTCAGGAGAACTAGAGTTTGAATTTCCAGAACCATGAAAATGCCAGGTAAGCGTGGTGACTCACCTGTAACTCCAGCCTCAGAAGGCATACAGGATCCCTGCAGAGCTGGCTGTGAGCCTAGTCATATGGGTGAAAGACCCTGCCCCACACACGGTAGAAGAGCTATGGAAAAATCTTTGCTTCGTTTCCTTCCTTGTGTCTAGGTTTTAGGTTACAACCAGTATATAATCCTTGGTATTTTCATGTATTTATTAAAATGCTAAATAGCAGTTGAAATGTGTTCCTGCCCATCACATAAGACTAGGTTAATGTGCACAAGACAAAGAAATTCAAAGATAGTCTCCACACTTTAAGATGCTTTATGATTTAATTGGGAAATTACAATGTAATCATGTCAAAAGTTTCCAGAACTTGTGACCGGGATGCCGAGGAAGGAGTTGCAAAGGCAAAGTGGTGACGGGGTACCAAGTGGAATCTGAAATGCTGAGTCTCAGATGACCCTGGTTACGTGGTCTTGTTAGACTGTGTACTTCTCCAACAAGGTAACAGGGAGCACTCTCTCCTGGGTGTGTACAGAGGTGAAGACTGCCCTGACTGGTTTGGAAGTAGTCTGTTTTAGGGGCTGGAGTAAATGAGAGTTTTGTGGCAGCTGTGACAAAGGTAGAGTTCATGAAGGATAACCTAGGGACAGGATGTAATGTGGAGGTTGTAGGCTAGAACTGAGGCAGGAGTAGAGCCTCACTGGAAAATTAGCAAGTTTGTCCTGTGCCTGAGCAGATCTGCACAACTGGAGGGGAGATGCTTGAGCCAGACTATAGAAAGAAAGAGTGGAGGCCGAGGGAAAATCATAATGTCAGATTTGTGTGGGGAAGGGGTTGGACATCACCTGGGCTCTTGTAAGATGGCTCTTTCAGTGTGGAAACACCCATCACCTGTCCATCCAAATCATTCCTAAATCAGCCTCCCAGCAGGATGTACTTATGAAGTTACTAACCTCATTTAGCCAACCCCAAATGTTATCACCTTCCTGCTCTTCTCTCTCAACTTATGGGCCTGTGTGTGGTGAGCAGCTGGACTTGGTCTGGTAACAAGCAGATTTCATTTATTCATATATGCATGTCTGTGCTGCAGATGCATTTGCTGTATGTCTCTGTTCCTGAAAACAAAGATGGCAAGAATGGATTGTGTCCTGGTTCTAATCTAATGGGAGATGATGTGGCGGTGTGGGGAAAGGTACTGTAATTGGTGCTAAGTGATTTGTTCTACCTGTGCAGTAGGTGCCACTAGGTTCAGGTGAGTAGAAACCCTACTGTGAGGAAAGGAAGGGAGGACATTTGAACTGGGCTTTGAAGGATAGCCATATGCCACATGAAGAAGAGTTGGTAAGTTTGGGACACTGCAGGCAGAGAGACTAGCAGAGGTTGCTAACAGCTTTAGGAAAGCCTCAGTATATCGGGGCAGAATGGTCCCAGTGGACTGGACAGATTCCCCATTTGATGTGGGAAGCAAATGCCCACAGGGGAGAAGGCTTTTCCTGCTTCCGTCTGTACCTAAGGATGGGGAGCCGCCGAAGACTTTCTAACAGCTTAAGTGGTACAAATTGTGTAATGTGCATGACCTGGAGTATAAAATGGAGAGTTGGAGATAGTATAGTGGTGCAACTAAATGTGGGGCCTGAGGGTGGAGGGATGGGTGGGGAAGACAAACCTTAGTGCACATCTTGTATTTTTCTGAAACAGGGTCTTGTGTAGCACTTAGCTGGCCTGGAACTTTCTATGGAGACCAGGCTGCCTTGAATTTGCAGCAATCCTGCCTCTGCTTCCCAAGTGCTGGGATTATAGGTATGAACCCCATGCCTGGCTTTGTTTGGTTTTCGTTTTTGACATAAGATCTTACTGTAGCCCAGGCTGGCATTGAACTTAGAATAATCCTTCTGCCTGAGTTTCCCAAGAGCTAGGATTTAGGCATGAGCTACCTCACCCAGGTACATATACTTAACATAGAAGTAATTCTTTCACACTGGAGGTATAGCTCAGTGGTAGAGTACTTGCCCTGTGTCTCATACAGAGAGAGGAAAGGGGGAAACCCGTGGAGAAGCACGCTAAGTTTGGCCTAGCTTGTTACTCTTGCAAACAGGTCTTTGGACCATAACAAGTCTTGTTTAGACATACGTAAGCCAGTTCTCTCTTCTTCCCCTAGCTCTAGCCTACTCCAGTGACACCTCAACACCTGTCAACCACAGGCAGATTATATTGCCATGAGGGAAAGCATCCAGTGGCTGCCAGGCTGTCATGGAATCTAAGATGAAGGAGCATCAGTGTGCCCAGAGGCAGCTCATCTCTGGCATGAAGGCTGGGCCTAGATTTGTTCTATCTGCCCCAGTTGGTAATCACACACCTGTAGCACACACTGGAGGGAAGTTTCTGTGTCTGGCTTCAGCCTCAGTGTGGGTGGGCATTGCCACTTCCTCCGGGCAGCAGAGTAGGGCTACCTTTAGCCGAACTCACTTTTATCTTTCAAGATCAGCTGTTCTCACTTGCGTATATGTACTGTCCTTAACCCTCAAAATTTTCTCAGGAATATTAAAAGTTGAAACATGCATCTATGCCCTGCCTAGCCATGGCACTTCTGTTGTTGATAATCTGTTCACAGTGTGGACAGTACACTTTGCAGTTCCATTGCACTGTTCATTGGAGGATCTTAAGAAATATTCCTAGATGATAATGCAGCACTTCAAAATATCCAGGTGGCGAGGAAGCTGTGAATTGAACTGTGTGTGAGAGAAGAGAAGGAAATCCTCAAGTGTTTTACTTTGTATTCAATGCGGGGAGCCCTGGGTCATGGCTTCTCTCCAGCTGACGCACTTTTGCTTAGGCTTTCCCAGGATGCAGCAACCATGGTATTAAAACAAATCCTATTAGATACTCTAGATGGCTCTGCTTACAGCTCTCATGCCACAGGCTGAAAGGAAATACCTTGCCCCTTTTCCTGAAGACCCCTACAGTGACCCTGGGGACACCATTCCTTGTGAACTTTAGGGTGACCAGCCCTGCAGTAGATGATATCCATGACTACCTCATCACCTGATATTTATACCCCAGCTGCTAGAATCAATGTCATCATGCCAGTCTCCTGAGTTTTCAGTACAGTATGTATTCCCCTCCCAAACCTGCAAGCCACAGAATTGATGTGAATACCCCCACCTTGACTAGGAATAGCTAACAATTCTCTGACATACCAACCCTCATTATTCCTGTATTATACCTTTAGATTAGGCTAGAAAATATTCTCAAGGAGTGGAGGATGTAGTTCAGAGGTAGTATTGGAGATAGAATATGTGCTTCATCTGTGTAAAGCCCTGTGAGTAATCCCTAGCACAACTCCCAAAAATAACTATCTCGGTTACTTTTCCAGTTACTGTGATAAAATGCCCTAACTAAAGCAACTTAAGGGATGTGTGAAAAGCCTTATGGAAATCCACTATTTTGTAAGCTAATTAAAAAATTGAAAAAAAAATTTAAAGAGGAGTTTGAATGGAAATGTCCTACATGGGTGGACAGTGCTGCTCCCAGAAGACATGGGTTATTAAACAAAAATCTTACTGCCAGGCATGGGGCACCTCCCTATGAGTTATTTGTAAGGGAGGCCCAAGAGACCCCCAAATCATCAAAGGCTGTCATTGTTCTTGGTTGCCCATCAGAACCAGATGGTGACCCCCGTTGGATGCCACACCTTTGGTTGTAGGACAGAGAAATTAATCTAGAAAGGACCAGAAAACCTCCTCCTGGCTAGCTTGCATAATGTCAGAAAGAGTTCTGCAGGCCACTGGAGGAAAAAAAGACATCAATGGTCTTCCTCAGAGCTGGACCTTGCCTGCAACAATACATAACTGCCTAGTATGATGTGCCTCCTGGTGCAATAAAGGCACTAATCGATTTCTGGGGGTAACCAATCACAGGAGAAAATTCATACCTACGCTGTAAACCTGGTCGAAATTCCATGGCTAGACAGTCCTAGGTCCTGGTGGTGGGGGAGAGGCCTACTACTGTTATTTTACTAAATGGTCATGTTGTCAAACTACCCTCTATTTATGTTCATAGGTTTGTGCTGCCCTTAGCCTTGAACCTACTTTTTGCTGTGGGCGTCAGTTAATGCAGAGACTCATAACTGGTAAAAGTGCTGAGAGTAAGTGATTGTGATTGCTCAGTCCTAAACAGAACATCTACACCAACCCACCCTGACAAAGCTCAAAGACCATCATGGGAGATGGGAAGGAAAGAATGCAAAAGCCAAAGAACTGGGCAGTGCTATGAAATAATGTTTTCTAGACATGACATGGTAGTTGCCTTCATGAACTCACAGCAGCTGTGGTTACCTGCACAAGACCTGCATAACATCATGTCAGTCAAACTTTCAGCATAGATGGGCTGGAGAGATGACTTAGTGGTTAAGAGCACTGGCTGTTCTTGCAGAAGATCCAGGTTCAATTCCCAGCACCCACATGGTGGCTAACAACCACCTGTAACTCCAGTTCCAGGAAATCTGATGTCCTCTTTGACCTC